TAGTTCTGGCTTTATCAGACCTTCTTCCTCACCAGCAGGAGCTCCCATTCTCTTTGTCAAGAAGAAAGATGGCTCCTTGCGTCTCTGTGTTGATTATAGGGGCCTTAATGCAGTCACTGTTAAAAACAGATATGCTTTACCCCTTATCCCTGAGCTCATAGATAGGCTCTCTTCAGCAAGGATCTTTACCAAGTTAGATCTCAGGGGAGCTTATAACCTGATACGCATCAAGGAAGGTGATGAGTGGAAGACAGCATTCAGAACACGCTATGGTCATTTTGAATACCAGGTAATGCCTTTTGGGCTTGCCAATGCACCTGCTTCTTTCCAAGCTCTCATGAATGATATTCTAAGACCTTACTTGGATATCTTTGTTGTTGTCTACTTAGACGACATTCTTATATACTCTTTAGACACTCAAGAGCATGTTCTACATGTTAGACAAGTCTTAGAGAAGCTATCTCAAGCACAACTCTTTTGCAAACTTGAGAAATGTCTTTTCCATATGTCTCAAGTTGATTTCTTGGGACATAGAATTTCAATAGAAGGCATTCAGATGGACCCTGAAAAGACAAAAGCAGTACAAACGTGGCCTATTCCTTCCAGCATTAAAGAGGTTCAGTCTTTCCTTGGGTTTGCCAACTATTACAGGAGGTTTATACCAAGATATACATCCTTGGCTTTACCCCTTACTCAATTACTTCACAAGGACACTTTGTATCACTGGGATAAGACACAGCAAGATGCTTTCGATGCTCTTAAAGGAGAATTTAAAGAAGGGAAAATGTTACTACACTTTAACCCCTTGAAACCTGCCACTCTTGAGACAGATGCCTCAGATTTTGCTATTTCTGGAATCTTATACCAAGCTCCAAAAGACAAACAAGAAGAGCTACAGCCTGTGGCATTTTACTCAAGAAAGCTATCAGCAGCTGAACAAAACTATCCCATTACAGACAAGGAACTGCTTGCCATAGTATGTTCTCTAAAGCATTGGAGATGCTACCTTGAAGGGGCAAACTATCCTATCACTATTTACAGTGACCATTCAAACCTCTTGACCTTTACAACCACTAAACAGCTCAATAGACGACAAGCAAGGTGGTCTGAACAACTAGGAGGTTTTGACTTTGTTATAAAACATGTCTCAGGGGCCAAGAATCAAAGAGCAGATCTCCTCTCAAGAAGACATGACTACCAAGATTCTGCTAAAACTAGCAATACAAAGGCTCTGCTAGACTCAGCAAAGCTTATAGCAGCATCTTTAAGCAACCCTAGTACTACAGAGGACTTAGGGGTAAACTTATCCTCTCAACACCAAGTTGCCCCCATTACCTCTTCTCAGGAACCAGAGACCTTTAAAGACTATACACCCTCAGCAACACTTCTTAAAGCATTCAAAGATGCTTACAACCATGATCCCTTTGCGAAAAGAACTTTGGAATACCTCCAGAAGAAAGGTTCCTCTCTTGAGAAAGTTGGACTACAGAATTTCTCAAAAAATCAGCATGGACTTCTCTTATTCAAGAACTATATCTATGTCCCAAGGGATAAACGATTACAGCTACACCTCCTACAGAAGTTCCATGATGCTCCAGCTGCAGGGCACTTTGGCTTTGCAAAAACTTATGAACTTCTAACAAGAAAGTTCTACTGGCCTAGTCTAAGGACTACTCTTCAAGACTATATATCTTCTTGCACTACTTGCAACTTGAACAAACCTACATGGCAAAAGCCCTATGGCCACTTGCAGCCTCTACCTATACCAGAACGCCCATGGGACTCCATATCCATTGACTTTATAGTCAAGTTGCCTCCTTCTATCCCAAAAGGGGGTGCTACCCCTTATGACTCTATCCTTGTGGTAGTAGAAAGGCTCACAAAAATGGCACACTTTGAGCCTTGCAATGAGACTATCACAGCTTCTGAACTTGCGTGGCTATTCCTCAAGGTGGTCTTTAAATATCATGGAATTCCTGGACACTGGATCTCAGATAGGGGAGCAGTTTTCACTTCAAACTTTTTTAAGGAGTTCTCTAAACTCTTAAACATGGAACAACGCTTTTCTACAGCTTATCACCCTCAAACAGATGGCCAGACAGAGAGAGTCAACTCTGTACTTGAACAATATCTAAGAATTTATACAAACTATGCTCAAGACAACTGGGCAGATCATCTCCATCTTGCAGAATTTGCTTACAACAACACGGTCTCTAACACCACAAAAGAGACACCTTTCTATGCAAACTATGGTTATCACCCTAGGTTTGAAGTGGCAGAACTTAATTGTCCTGAAAATCTCAAAAACCCTTCTGCTACTGAAAGAATCATCTACCTTAAGGGCCTCCAGGACTATCTCAAGGTCCAAATACAGTGTGCACAAGGCGAGCAGGCTCAGGCCTTTAACAGGGGGGTGGTTGCACCACAATTCAAAGTTGGTGATCAAGTCTTTTTGTCTAGAAGACATATCACAACTACTAGACCATCAGACAAACTTGATACTAAAAGACTTGGACCCTTTAATATCACAAGGACTATTGGCAAGAATGCTTTCGAGCTTGCATTACCACCTACTTGGACTATCCATAATGTCTTCCATGCATCTATCTTGTCTAAGGCACAAGAAAGTTCCTTAAAACCACTTCAGTCTCCTCCACCTCCTGTTCTGATTTTGGATCAACCAGAATATGAAGTAGAGTCTATCCTTGACAAAAAGACACTTAGAGGTCCGGACTACTTCCTCGTTAAGTGGAAAGGTTATCCTACAAGTGACAACACTTGGGAACCTAAGAGAAATCTAAAAAATGCATCCAAGCTGATTCTAGAATTTCTTTCTAAGAAAGCCACCTGGCTAAAGGGCAAGCACACAGCTAACAAACGTCCTTAAGAGGGGTATCATGTCATACTGACATTCGTTGCACTCAGTTTGCTATCAAACTCAAGAGCAAACTTGGAAATCTCCTCCTCAAACCTACAAGTCACTATACATATTTTGGCTTATCACACCAACAACAAGAGCAATACTACTCAACGATTGCTACAACCATCTATGATTCATTACACATCATCGCTCCTTAGTTACTGGGCCGATATTACCACATAGCATATCTCTACAACCCTCTATGATTCATTACATGACATCACTCATACTACCACATGACATATCTCTACCAACTAGAGGCCTAGGGGCATGAACGATAGCTCTAAAAGCTCCTACGAACCTCTATGATTCATTACATGTCATCGCTCTTTAGTTACCCACAAGATTGGTTAAGTTATGACATAATTTGTCTATGACATAATTTGTCTATAGGGGTACTCTGACCTTGGACCTCCTTTTACTTCCTATAGGCTACGAACCTAAGAGATGGTTCTATGGGATTCTCTTACGTCGACTACAGTTACCAAGCCTGGTAAGTCATGGAAAGTCTTGGAAAATGAGAGAACTACACTCCTTTAGCATAAATAGGATTGCCCTTTCCTTAAGAAAGGGCAAGCAGACAATACAGTAAATCGACTATCACATACTTCCACATCTTTTCCAAGCTTCCAAGCATTGATCTTGTTACTCCTTGTTTCTGAAAAGTCAGTGAGGTGCTAACCTCTGACTTACCCCTGAGTTCTCAGACTCAACATTTGTTACAACTTGTCTAAACCACTCCACTACATCATACACCTGATTGCTGCATTGTGGAATAGTCTAAGCTACGACCCATTGGCTCTGTTTTCTAAGACAGTGTGTTGTCTTAGTAAATTCATCCCTTCCTTGGGTGGCTAGATTCTCACATCTGGTGCACCCACCATTACACCAAAGGGTTGTAGCTTAGACTATTCCACAATGCAGCAATCAGGTGTGTGATGTAGTGAAGTGGTTCAGACAAGTTGCAACAAATGTTGAGTCTGGGAACTCAGGGGTAAGTCAGAGGTTAGCACCTCACTGACTTTTCAGAAACAAGGAGTAACAAGATCAATGCTTGGAAGCTTGGAAAAGATGTGGAAGTATGTGATAGTCGATTTACTGTATTGTCTGCTTGCCCTTTCTTAAGGAAAGGGCAATCCTATTTATGCTAAAGGAGTGTAGTTCTCTCATTTTCCAAGCTTTCCATGACTAACCAGGCTTGGTAACTGTAGTCGACGTAAGAGAATCCCATAGAACCATCTCTTAGGTTCGTAGCCTATAGGAAGTGAAAGGAGGTCCAAGGTCAGAGTACCCCTATAGACAGATTATGTCATAACTTAACCAATCTTGTAGGTAACTAAGGAGCGATGACGTGTAATGAATCATAGAGGGTTGTAGAAGCTTTTGGAGCTATCGTTCATGTTCCTAGGCCTCTAGTTGATAGAGATATGTCATGTGTAGTATTAGCCCAGTAACTAAGGAGTGATGTCATGTAATGAATCATAGAGGGTTGTAGAGATATGCTATGTGGTCATATCAGCCCAGTAACTAAGGAGCAATGACGTGTAATGAATCATAGAGGGTTGTAGCAATCGTTGAGTAGTATTGCTCTTGTTGTTGGTGTGACAAGCCAAAATATGTATAGTGACTTGTAGGTTTGAGGAGGAGATTTCCAAGTTTGCTCTTGAGTTTGATAGCAAACTGAGTGCAACGAATGTCAGTATGACACTGACAAGGGGGCATCCTTGGGGGCTTAAGCTATTATATACACACCTTAGCATCCTGAGTAGTAACGGGCCTAGAAGCAGGTACAAGATGATACGCTAGAAGCCTCTACATCCGTGCCGGGACGTCACAGACTAAAGGGGGGGGTAATTGTAACGGGTGCCGCCGTTACAGTACATGTGGTATATAAAGCGTGTTACGCGTATTCCAGGCGAGCCGGAATACTGTAGTCTTTTTGGCTCAGTGGGATGTAGCGCGAGCGTAACTGTACATCGTTACAATTCGTGCGCGAAACCGATTTGTGCTTTGTGTGGTGCCCATTCAATGGTGTGGTGGGTAGCGGTCCATCGGAGCCACGCTTCTTCTTCTTCGGCGGTTATTTATCCATCTGTTCGAAGGTCTTCTCGATGTCGGCAAGCTTCCTCTTATCTCTATCCGAAACAAGCTCAGCCCCATTGGCGTCCAGTCCAGCGGTCAACGGCGTCATAGGAGAGGTGGATCGACTGTCGTCTTCCGCGTTGTAGACTTCCTGTCGCCCTTCACTCGCATCGCGGCTATTCGTGGCATGGCTAGTGAGAGCCATTCTGCACCCGAGAGCGAGGTCGCGAATGGTAGGCGAAAAGAAAGATGTAGAGGGGTTGTCCCACATTGCCTTAGATGACTGCAGAAGACTTTCCTTAGATAAGTCTAGACGCTCGAATAAGTACCAACAGTAGCTATGAATACGGAATCGACTTGATTTGCCAAATCTTCCGAGTCTTCTGATTTCGAGCCTTCTGATTTCGAGTCTTCTGATTCCGAGTCTTCTGATTCTGAGACTTTATCAAGCAAGGCAAGGCTTAGCCTTGCTTCGGAAGAACAGGAAGATAGCTGTGGAAGGTTGAATGTAGAGCCGCATAGCATGCATTGCTGTTTCGATGTCGAGTCCATAGTCGTGGCAATCGAAGAGGTTTTCAAACGTCCGACTGTCGATAGAATCTCAGCAAATGAGAGGCTTCTTTTCAGGAAACAATCTTTATACAAGGAGTACGCTCTCTCATGGATTGTCCAGGAATCAGACATGAAGTTGAAGTTATGTATGACGTTTAAGGTTGCACAGCAGTGGCTTAACATAAGTCGTGGCGTAACGCGGGGGATGGCGTAACGCGGTGGAATTTTGAAGAGAACACAACAAATCTGTAAATTTAACTACAATCAACGATAATACATGATCCACCGTCACTCTTAGATTGTTCCCCTGCTTCTTCCTCAATATACTCGTCAATTTCAATGTCTGAGGAGGCGTTCTTATCCTTTGTTTTGCGCTTTTTCTTACTTGGGTTATGTGTTGCCTTTTCCGCCTCCATCACCGCATCACACAACTCTTGCATAGAAACATGAAAGTGACCCTTCAGAATAACCCTTTTCCCCTTCGTACGTACCGTACGTTGCTTTATAACTGATCGCAGGTTGTTGGCATCGAGTTGGTGGACAATGCTGCATGCTCAAAGTTGCTCTGATGCAACTGTGAGTTTTTGGATGTACGTCTGCACTGGTGTTGACAGCACCCCACCACTATTAATCGTAGTTGTAAGGAGCGCATTTGCAGAGTGTAAGGTCATCCCATCTGGGGGGGAGCTGTTGATAAAGACTCGGTCAAAAATATCATACTGATGTGGTGTTTTTGGTCGGTCAGCCTCGACTGATGGTTCAGCATTGAGCAGCGTACGCAATGCTCGCTGGGGATTAAAAGGAAACAAGCCAGCACCACGGTATGCTGACTCAATGTTCTGATGGTTGCATACATCAAGCCGTGCCTGGATGTATGCCTCCATCCATTCATACTTCTGTATGCGCGCAAGTTGCGCTTGGTTGTGTGGGGAGAGCACTGCTGTCAGATGCTTTTTTAGCGGGCCGAATATCGCAACATCCAGTGGTTGTAGTAAGTGCGATGTATGAGGGGGAAGTATCAGTAATACAATATGGTTCTGCATGCAATGCACAATGAAACTCCCGCTAATGTGTGAGTCGTGGCCATCACATATAAGAAGCTTGTGCTGACCATCTGCTTTTGTACGTGTTGTTGGCTTGAAGATGCGTTTTAACCACTCCAACCCATGGAGGTTGCTTGTCCAGCCTTTCGTATTCGCAGAGAAGAACCACTGGTTGATGACTGCAGGCGGAATCCATGATTGGAGAACGTTCTTGCCCTTAAAGATTCCGAGGGGTGGGAGGATGGTTCCGTCTGCACAGATGCACTCGACCATCGAAACCCATTCCTGACGGCCAGGATGCGCTTGATGCTTCGTACGAAGTGTTGAATCAAGTATAATTCGAGTAGATTCCATTGTCCCAATCGAAAATCTGGATTCATCCATGTTATATGTGTTCTCTTGCGTGATTCCAAACTCTTGAACCACCTTGGTGTACGTGTTAAACCATGCCGTAAGCACTGGTTTTGTTGCACCGTCCATGCATACAGTTTCGATCCGTCGCCCAATAGCGACCTGTAGATGGGGATGTCGTTGTATGAATCGTGGTACCCAGTCGCGACCGAGGGAAAATCGTGGTTGGGGTAGAAGTAAGTTTGGCGTCGCGTCGTCAAAATTGAGTGACCGGTGCGACCGGAGTTCTTCAGCTATTTCCTTCAACAACCGATGCCCTGGAGAATAGCCGCTGATTGTTAGGTTTTTAATCCACTTTAGAAGTATCTGTTCTTGCGCGCCTGATAAATTCTGCTGTTTCTGGCGGGCTTGGGAGCGTGTCAAACCTCCATTGACGCGTCGCGTCACTGAACTCTTCGGCAGCCCCAGCACTTTCTCAGCATGATATACACTCTTATACTTCTTAGATTGGACGTCTAATACTGCCTGGGCTATTAAAGTTTCACGCTCAGCAACACCCAGGCTTTTACAGCGAACCATTGTTGAGTTATTCACAGTTATCAGAAGTCGGCGGGGTGAATTCCCCGCGTTACACCATCCCCCGCGTTACGCCACGACTTACGTTATGTAATCAGTTATCCTCCAGCTAAGCGTTGTTGCACGGACGACGACACTGAGCGTGCACCTCCCGTTTTGTTTTGACCAACTCCTCTCTTCATGCAGTAACTTTACAAAAAAAAAACCGGAATCGGTGTGAAATAAGGTGTGGACAAGGTTAATGATGGCGGGCGCCAGAAAGACAGGGTCACTGACCCACAACACGCGTAGCCGGGGTTTTATGCAACCAATACAGACCACACGTCAAAACGCACAGGGTCTTTATAATGATGGGATGGACGACGCGTATGTTCACATCTATCTATGCATGGCGTAAGGGTCATTCATGGGGATGTTAAGCCGGACATTTTTATGATCCGCGCATCAGTTATATGTGACTCAAACTTTTAACTGGCAAACACCTGTGCTATACGCATGTGATTCAAGGCGACATTCTACTTTGACTTTACAGCTTCGAGTACAGCGGTAATTAACCGTTGAAGAAAGCGGGTTTGTTGACTTTACGGACCTAAACTCCGACATGATTCACAGTGTAAGTGACGATAGCAGTGATAATGAATCACTGCCCGAGAATATAGATCCTAACTTATTTAATTGATTGATTATATATACCTATGTACGGATGGATCGGGTGGGAACTGCAAGGGAGCCACGAGTACTCTTAACCATCAGTTGAAATAAATCAATCAAGCATAACCACATATATCTCCACTGATCTCCAGCGGAAACGTTGAGTTGCGTTCCACTAACAGATACAAGGTACAAAATCCCATGTTGATATCGATGGACTGGTGCCAGCTGGTCGGCATCTGAGACCCAGGAAAGCGATGAGGAAGGTAAAGTGAGTTGCACAAGCATACCCACCTGTGGCTTTGACACGGAGATCAATCATATATGCACAGCACGCTGCATACTCGAGTCAGCAACCGACGCGCTCGGCCCGGTGGCTTACCAACCTCCTGTTACTCTAAATGCAATGATACGTCGTGAAGCCGGCCCCCTGGTTTTCTTTAATGCCGCCCGCCTCATTTGCCCCCAACGGGACAAAAAGGGGCGACAACCGCGCGAGTCGTGCCGATATCCATGCAAACCCGAGCAGAGGACTCGGTAGCAGTGTTGCCCTGTGCAAGGCAGCGGTGTGCAAAGTTGTTTGCTTTCTCGAGACGGCGTGACGGAACTGACGGAACTGACGGTTGCAGGTGGAATGCGAGAGATAGCGATAAAGCCGACAAACGTGACCAGCCGTTTGCACTTGTATTGTGTAGCTCTCCCTGGACCTTTTACGGATGTCTACTATAGGCAAAAATGGAAGTACTGTGCCGTGGTTTACGTCTCTCCTTGCCTGACGCCTGGAGGAACCCGTGCAGTGGACGTGTTTGGTACGGGGTTATCAGGTCTGGGATCGCTAGGCTCCGTCTCACAACGGTAGGTTGAAGGCACGGGAGAGAAGGTTACTGGGATCCAAGAGACGTCAGCTTGGTACGCTGTAGGTGTGGTGGCTAATCCCCGAGGCAAACAGTTTTCACCATCATGATTGATTGTTGCCCCTCGTTTTAATTTCTTGTGCGAATGTTTTAGCATTGCTTGTGGAGGGCTGGCCGCCGTCCTGTTACCTGGTTTTCAGTTGGGAATAGAATACGATACTACACTCGCTTTTATTTCGGTCGTTATTGCGGACTTAGCGTTTTGTGCTTTTCGTTTTCCCCTACTGTCTCTGAGGAGCTTCTGACCATACAGCCTATGTGTTCGTACTGTACATTCCGCTCGTCCATATATGCATGAGCATCTGTTTATGGCCCCTCCAACACAAGCCTTTGCAAAGTCTGTCATACTAGGGATTCTGTTTCAGCCCAGTTGCTGCACGCACCCGCCCAAGAGAAAATGACCAGAAGTTGTGTTGCCCTTGGTCCGGGCTGAGGGTCAAGAAAGCGAATACTAAAACTCTGGTATGGGCATAGACTACAACTTGTTCTCACCCAATTCAGAGGAACAATACTCAAAATAGCGGAGTATCTGAACGCCTAAAGTCCCGAGGTTTGCGCAACATTTGGGAATTGCAAGGCGTGGATGCACATGGATTGGAAGGATACAATGGAAACACCAGATGGGAACGGCAAGGAGCAGGGTAGTGATATGGTGGCCGATCATAATAGCTCAAACACGGAAAAAGTTACCACTGGCGTCAAGACGTTGAACTCGACCTCGCAGAATCCAGAAACGCCGCGGGAGGGTTGTGGAAACCGAAGGCCAAGAACCATGATATGGGAATCACTTTATGGAGTCGGTCTATATGGGCTGGGGAACTCGCCAATGAAGGGCAAGCCGGCACTGTCCAGAACAGATGATGTTGCCCAAAACGAAGCTCCAGACATCAACACAAGTCTGGCACAGAGCTGTTCAATAAACGGGGAAAAGTCTTCCAGCACCAGTACCGTATCAGTATTAGAAGGAAATAAGACGGCAAATGACTCCGGGGATACCCTATTGGAGCCTCCAGTAACCAAGGAGGTGCTTGCTGAGTTGGAAATCGCAATGGTTATCAGCAATCCGAAATTCCGGCATGATTTTAACTTCGGCTGCAAAATCCCATACGTTCCAAAGCGGCGGAAGCAGAAATCAGATGAATTTTGGCGCACTCTCCAGCTCCAGATATCAGAGCTTTGGTCGGACCGTGAAGCATTCATAGCGAAGCATCCTGGTAACACCTGGACATTACCACTATTATTGAAGGCGATTGGCGAAATACTCACAGAATTACTGCCGCAAAGAGACAGTTCTCTGATCGAAGAGACCCTAGATGTCGATTTACTTATGCAACAATTGACAAAAGGCCAATTGAACTTGGGGCAGCTTGCAGACTTTTTCTCGGAGACGCTGAGAAAGCATTGTACTCCTGAGCGTGATTGTGACGTCTTTGAGATGGCCAAACAATTAACGACCGGGTTCCGTAGTGGTAATGTCGACATTCTAGTAGATGGTTTGGTGCAGCTCCTTACAACCATCGAAGCAATGAGACTGGTATGTACATGCCACAGTAACTTATGGATAGAACTAACGGGTCCAGGATGTTACCAATCACCAAATTAACCACCTAACTCTCATCCAAAGCTTCGTTAGCTTCCAGCAAACAAATTTTTTAAGGATGATTCCAACAGGAGATATCGATATTTATGAGTCCTATGCCTGGTTTGACTCATATCGAATCCCAGATGAGATTACGGCACTCTGTCGTGAATGGGGGATCTGGAAATTCTTCCGTGCATTTGTAGATCTGCTTCGCCATTCCAACAGGGAGGCCCCTATACCCGATACACTACAGTTGGATAATGAGCGAATTGCGGATCTACGCATGAAGTTGCTCAGTGCCGTCAACATACACGTTTGTATGACTTTCTTCAATATAATCGATCAAACGGTCATCTCACCGAAAATTTCGGCCAGCGAAGGCCGTATCCACGCGTCTTCTCAGCTGCACTCTGACTCGAACACAATCGAACACAACCGTAGGGTCGACCATGTGCGTTCCACTTTACATGCGATTGTAGACGACTACTCGAATCCTGACATCGACTCATCTCCTCCCCCAACCTCATCGCCGCTAGACTTTGACCCATGGAAGGTTGCTGCTCCCTCACTGGCGCTTGAGATGCTACGAAAAGCCAATGGGTCTCTTTCCAATCCATACTTCGAGAAGTCCTTCATCGCATCATTATCCAACCTTTCAAACCCAGTCTTCAAAGAAAGCGAACGTGTTATAGTTGCGCAGTTGGGGGAGCTTGTTCAGGAATATGTGGACGCATGGCAACCACTCGACAGCGTGGCTCTATACAAAGTGGCTCCAGTATGTCCAAGGGGATGTAAGATGCATGGCAAATCCATAGAATTCGAGCCTTTGGACGAAATTGCGAGGGTCATAGCTTATTTGGGATTTTGCACTGGAATGTTTGGGGAAAGATCGTGTACTTGGTTAATCCCAACGAGCACCCCCACCACTCGAGTGAGATAGACTGGGATACCGTGGAATTTACCAACGGAAGATAGTCTGTCAACAATCAGGATGGATATTCAAGCAGCATCCGTCCCCGCTTGATGAAGTGGCGAATACTCATATATATCAAGGAGAGGGGTGACTGCCACAATGCTTGACGGCTGCGGAGGGCGTTCCAAATAACACAGGTTGAGGCCTCCCCATCGCACAACCCAGGAAGTCGCCGCGGCCAACGACACAACAGAACTATTTGGCGTGTGGTAATGGGATAGAGGGTTAGGCTGATGAATCCTGAGAGAAGTAGTCAGTCTAACCCTAGAGTATGCTGCTGGGCACGATTTCAAACCATTCTATCCACAGCGGAGAGCCTCTCGATGGAGTCTGGGGCTTTTATGTCAGTTGCTTTGTCGAATGTGCCGTCGTACAGCAAGGCCTATATTTTTGTATGACTTACACAGGGGAGCACTATTCACTGGATTCCGCGCTTATTGAACCGATAACCAGGAGTTTCATGTATTTACGGTGTGCTGTGTATTCTACCGACGGATGATGTCAGATGGCCACAAATGACTCTATTTCCTTGGACATGGAGATCCTGCAGGTCAGATTAATTTGATTTCCGAAAAGTAAGAGTCTGGCAGAACTCTTGAGCATTATAATAGCTCTTTAAGGAGAACAAAGAGTCGAGGGGAAAAATGGGCACAATATATGAGACAATGGAATAAATATTTATTTATTTTTTAGCAGGTAACAATACATAACCATTCGTAATTTAATCTGCCTCTGATAAGTTATTACGTATCGAAAGACATGAATTTGAAGTTGTACACCGTTGTACACATTTGATTCCCCCTATTGCCCCTGAGCAGCCTCGTGACTGATGTGGTCGCCATCCGTACCATGCCGCATTCGACGCCGACAATAGCTCACACCAAAGGCTGAACCTCAGCCTCCGAACCCACCAACACTCGTTCGACAACACCACAATTCCACAGCGACAATGCTGCGATAGAAATGCGCGGCCAAAGCTAGCGAACAAACCCGGTCGAAGAGCTAGCTATTATGAACCGCCACGGCGCCAACGGCGAGAATAATGGCCTCCTGGGCGGCAGCGACTGGGAGGAGCTGAACGAATATCCCAGCCGTGCGGGCTCGCACTCGCCATCTCTGCAGGGCGACGATGATGCGAACGCGAAAGAGGACGAGACAAGGAGCGGGTCGCGCACGCGGCCTACCCCGAGGACGCCTATGAAAGTGCACTTCAATATCCCCCGCGACGACGACTCGCTCGCCGAAGCGGGCTATATGAATAGAGGAGACGCCCACGAGGGGAGAGGCGGGGCTATAAGGAGTTCGGACCATCTAGACGAGGATGATGACCATCACGACGACGAAGAGGGCCACGATGCGCCGCTGCTCCCCAGCGCAAGCACTCCAATCGACTCCGCGCTCGAGAACCCAGATGACCGCCCGACCTCGTCGCTGCAGGCTGCGATCTCGAATATGTCGAACTCGATTCTGGGCGCGGGGATAATCGGGCAGCCGTACGCGCTGAAGGAGGCGGGGCTGGCTGCTGGTGTGACGTTGCTGGTCGTCCTCACTGTGGTCGTAGATTGGACCATCCGGCTGATTGTTATAAACTCCAAGATGTCGGGGCGGAATACGTTCCAGGGGACGGTGGAGTTTTGCTTTGGCTGGTGGGGACTGCTGGCTATTAGCTTTGCGCAGTGGGCGTTTGCTTTTGGGGGTATGGTGGCGTTTGCGGTGATTGTGGGGGATAGCATTCCCCCAGTGATCGAGGCCATTTGGCCAGGCATGAAGGATATTAGATACCTGGGATGGTTGGCGGGGAGGTCTGGCGCGATTGTGGTGTTTATTGGGTGTATCAGCTGGCCTTTGAGTTTGTATAGGGATATTTCGAAGGTTAGTGCAGACCCTGAATTTCTCATACGAGAAGCTACCGCTAGAGGCTATGAGAACGAGAATGAGAACAAGAATGTAGCTAATTATCTTCACACAGCTGGCAAAAGCGAGCACATTGGCGTTATTCAGTATGCTGGTTATCATCGGGACGGTAGTGACGCAAGGATTCTCAGTCCCCGCCGAGCTGCGAGGAACGTTCGATTTACCACTCTGGACAATCAACGTCGGAATCTTCCAAGCCATCGGCGTAATCTCCTTTGGTGCACCCCTTCCCCCTCTCTTCCCCCTTCCACCAACCCATCTAACACCCTCCAGCCTTCGTCTGCCACCACAACACCCTCCTCATCTACTCCTCCCTCTCCACGCCCACCCTGACCCGCTTCTCCCTCCTCACCCACATCAGCACCATCATCTCCCTCTTCGCCTGCCTCGCCATGGCCCTCTCCGGCTTCCTCACCTTCGGCTCCCTCACCGACGGCAACGTGCTCAACAACTTCCCCAACTCACCCCTCGTCAACCTCGCCCGCTTCTGCTTCGGCCTGAACATGCTCACCACTCTCCCCCTCGAAGCCTTCGTCTGCCGCGAGGTAATGGTGAATTTCTTCGCCCCCTCCGCCGCTGCCGATGCCCCCGCCACGGACTCCCGTAACTCTTCGGCGCACCACACCAGCACCGTCGTCCACGTCGCGCTGACCACTGGGTTGGTCTGGAGTGCGGCGCTCATCGCGACGCAGGTGTGTGATCTCGGCACGGTGTTTGAGATCATCGGCGCCACGTCCGCGAGTATCCTGGCGTATATCCTCCCGCCGCTTTGCTACCTCAAGCTGAGCAAGAAGAAGGACTGGCGGAGGCCGGTGGCGTGGGGGGTTGTCGCGTTTGGGTGCACGGTGGCGGCGATGACGCTGCTGCTTTCGGCGGTGAAGTTTTGGACGGGCGAGCATGCCGTGGTAAAAAAATGCCACGGTTAAGAAGTGCAGATAGAGTAGTCGGCCCCCTGGGTCAGAAAATGGGCGGCGAAGGGACCGGTTTGATAGATGTTACGATATACGAGCGGCCGTTTTTGTGTAGATAGATTATGGATACTTTGGATGTAGAAACAATAGAAAATGGCTTACTGCCAGGTTGATATCTCTAATATGTTTGTACAAGTCGTGTTCCGTCGCCACTCCCGCTACTCCTGAGTACTTTGAACCCCTCCTACTGGAAAGCAACCTGGTCGAAGAGCTCATGGAAATCTGCGAGGCAAGGATATCCACAACCCTCGGCCATATCCCATCCTTGTGACTGTTGTGGCGCATGGTCGCGACGCAAATCGGCACCTCAAACCAAAGCAGCTAACCGACCTTGGGAATCGTATAATGACCCATACCATTGGGATTCACGGTTGCCACTTCACAACATCGTCTGAACTGGGTTGTATCTCGACTTCAGCTCCATACGTTAAGGCTTTGCATCTTTGCATCTTTGCTACAGGCAATAGCAAGAGCCGACTTAACGACCTCACAGCACAAGTTCATACCCAGGCAGCAGGCCGAAAGAAATATCCAGAATGAGTGAAGCATCATGGGCCGATTCTCAAATCACCGAACTCGTCGCCCAACACGGCACAGTCCCCCCCCCCTACTTCAAGCACCCCAACATCCACCCACTTGAAATATTCTGGCGCATGGGCACCGGTGAGGGCTACATCATGGTCTATTGGGCATGGTGGAAGCGCCAAAAACCCTTGATGGACGAGACGCAACGGATTGAATATTTTCGGCAGTTCCCGCCTCCGCCGCTGTGGCCTACCTGGATGATTAATCTGCTCTGGGTGCTGGAGGATGAGGAGATGGATTTGGATCCTGAAGAGGCGGGTTATTTTAAGTATTTTTTGCGCACGAAGGCGTTGGGGATTGGGACGGAGAGTGAGTGTAAGCGGGCTTGGTTTTTGCATAATGAGGAGATGGAGGCGGAGTTTAAGGATAAGGAGGAGGAGGATGAAGATGATGAGTAGGGAGAGGTCACAGCATATGACTGATACAGATCTTTAGCACAAGAAAAGGGTTCAAAATAATGCCTAGCACAAGACTGAGAATATAGAATCCGTCCCCTCCCCACAACGCAACTACAAAAGTTTCCCATGTCGCACCCTCGGTAGTAATCCCGAGCCTGACGCCTGCCGCAATGAAGGTATAAATAATATAATACAAGAACCCTTCATCTCACTCCCCCCTCTTTCCATCTCAAACACTCGCGCCCTACTTCGGCACCACACTACTCACACTCGCACTCCTACTCCCCCCAGCCGCACTCCCCGGCGCACTCCCCTCCTCAGCCTGCCTCTCCAAAAACCCCGTCCACAGCTCCGCCAAGCTCTCCTTCGGCGCGCCCTGCAGATCGGGGAAGAACTCGGCATTCAAGCTCGGCGTGCTGGGCGTGCGGTGGAATGGGATCTGCGGGACGCGTAGCGAGTATCCAGCGGTGCCAGGGCGCGCCAGTCCGGCTTGCTCTTTTTGCTCTTCGGTCCAGGAGAGGAGGGAGGCGATGACTTGGAGGATCTGAAATTTCTTGGGGTCGGAGCGGTCGAGGGCGAGGAAGCGGAGGAAGTAGTTTGTGACGATATGGCTGGGGGGTGTTAGTATGCTTCTTCTGGAGTAGGAGGGGGGGGGGAAGGGGGAGGACTAACCGGTCAACGTTATCTTCTGGCTTGGCTTTCTTGAGGAAGCGGAGGGCTTTGGCGAGGTGGTCGTTTAGGACTATGGCTTCGTGACGCAACTTTCCGAGAAGGATATTTTTCTCCTTTACTTCCTTCTCGAATGGAGCCAATCGCTCCAGCTGCGCCGTCAAGTCCTCCTTAGCCGCCTCCGCCGCCGTCGCTCTCGTATCAGCTTCAGCGACGACCCTGTTAAGTGCCTCGAGCTGCGCCTGCGTCGTCTCCACCATCTCGCGGAGTTCGACTCTACGCGCCTCCTGAATCTCCTGTAGCGCCCGCTGCAGCCCATCCACAGCCTGCGACTGGCTATCCCGCTCCGAGGCCGCGCGCTCAAACGACTCACGCTGCGTGGATAGCTGGTCCTCCAACTCGGCGACGCGGTCGGCTAGGCCCTCGCGGATAGACCGCTCCTCCATAGCCAGAACCTCCCAGTCTCCCATCGCCTCCTTGGCAGCCTCTGCCTCCTCCCTCAGGTGCTTCGTCTGGGTCAAGAGGTCCTCGCGCTCGCGAAGCCAGTTCTGCTGGGACAGATTACTGCGATTCCGCAGCGTGGAGAGCTCCTTCGAGTTCTCCGATTCCTGGGCCGAAAGCTGCGTAACCTCCTGCTCCGCCTTGTCAGCCGCAGCCTTGAGTTGCGCATTCTGCGTCTCTAGCTCCTCAATCTGGTCTTTTGCCTCGGACAGCTCCTGCCTATCAGCCGCCAGACGTTCCCCAAGCGTCGACTTGATCGTGTTCACTCTGCCCAGGAGATTCTGGTACTGCGACTGCGCCTGCTCCTTAGCTTGCTCGCTCTCCTCCAGCTCCGAGCGGACACTCGATAGTTCCTCCTTGTGCCGCTCCTGGATGTCCTCTAGCGACCTGCGCAGTTTCTCGACTTCCGCCCGCAGCGCTTCGCGGTCCTGTGACATGGCTTCGAGCCGGACACTCGCATCTGTGGCGTTGGAGGCGTTGCTCCCTACGCTCTCGTCGAACACTTCTCGTGCGGGTGACACGTTGCCTTGTTTCGTATCTGCGGGGGACCCGTGGCCATTCGTATGCCCGTCCGTTTGCCCGTTCGTTTTGGCGTCGGCTGTCTCGTCTGATTGTTCCGCTGCGGTGGATGTGGTCTGTAAATTCATCAGCGGGCGCTCGTCGGGGCGCTGGTGGACAGGTGGCTTCCGTACCACAACTGGGGAATTGGGCTGTGCCTCATCCTCGTCATCTTCAGCAGGGCCACTTCCGTTCGCTGGCGTAATTGATGGCTTGGCTAGGTCGCCGTTGAGTTTTGACTTGGACTTTTTCTTTTTGTTTGCCTTCTTCTTTGGCGCTGCGAGTCGTGGGGGATCAGCTTTGGGGAGTCTTTTAAATCGGCTGGAAATGGCGAATTGTAGGAGTAGCGAGGGGGAATAGAGATTGACGACGAACCTAAAGAAGAAACCTGAGGGTTATCTGAGGGCGCAATTGCGGACATGATTGCTGATGTCTGAAGACTGCCAGAGCATCGTACTGTACAGCGTTTGTCGTACTGTATATAGCGGACTTGTGTTTCGTTATCAGGACAACTCGTAACGGGACAGCTCGCTTCGATAAAGTAAGTTAGTGCCGACCTTCAACTTCCCTGTCCGCTGAAACAGACGAATCGTCGCCCAGCCTTGCACACATGGAACTTCGTTTTGCGTTACGTGACCATTTTACTCCCAAAGTAAAATACCAACAAGCCGTCGTTGCCTAAGCCTTGACTATCTAGGTGATGTATTGCCTTTGTAGGGCAAATACACACAGGCAATTTATACGCAATGTTGCCCATATAGAAGTGGAACCGGCTTTTCGCCATGCCTTTTCAAAATCGCCATTCGAGAAGTCGAGACGGGGATTGAGCACTTTCAACGCTCTGCGCATGCAACAGACTTCACGTCACTTGCAAAGGTCGACAGACGCGGAAGGTGAATCCTCTGCATATACGACCACACCCACTTCCGAGAGCGAGAAGGCGACGCTTTCACAAGAGGGTAGCCATGCTCCAGCGCCGGCTTTTTTCGAAATCACACCTGATATAATAGACCAATTGGCGGCAGGGGCTGTAAAAGATACCCCGAAAAGAGCCGAACAACCTATCGAGCGCGAGTACCGGGAGCGGGCACCTGAGTGGCACACAAACAGGAGGGAAACCCCTGACAAGTTTGCCAGGAAGCCTTTCAACAGAGAAGCTCCTACGAATTCATACCAGGACGATTCTCCCGCCCCTCGAAAGAACTTCCGTTCCAAGCATACAGAGGAAGCCGAGGCTCCTACCCGCTTTCCCAAGAAGTCTGCCAAAAAAGAAGAAGACGACTGGACGCCACCCCCCCGCCTCCCCTGGCAAAGCCAAAAAGCCGCCCTCCAAGAAAAATTCTCCGAAGGCTGGGCCCCCCGAAAGCGCCTCTCCCCCGACGCCCTAGCCGGCATCCGCGCCATCAACGCGCAGTTCCCCGACCAATACACCGTCCCCGTGCTCGCTGCCAAGTTCGAGGTCTCGCCAGAAGCTATTCGCAGGATCCTGAAGAGCAATTGGCGGCCGGATGAAGAGGAGGAGGAGGATCGCAAGAGGAGGTGGTATAAGAGGGGGCGGCAGGTGTGGACGAGGTATGCGGAGTTGGGGCTGAAGCCGCCGAGGAAGTGGAGGGATGAGGGGATTGGGAAGAGGGAGAAGGGGTGGAAGAGTAGGGAGAAGGAGGAGAGGGATAAGGAGAGGGAGACGCTGAGTACGACTTGGAATCCGAGGTTGACGAGGAAGCCGGAGGGGGATGGGTTTGTTTGATGTGGAATAGAGGGAGCAGGGTGTAAGATATGGGAGGGATGCATTTAGCTGAGGCGCAAGGGAAGGTTATTGTAGGATATTATGTAGAATACTATTGTAGGATATTGTAGGATATAGATACCAGCGGTCCGCTTGAAACAGATATATAAAAACTCAAGTTTATATGGCCGACGCCTTTAATTCTTCTAATCGCCAGCTACCAAGCACATCTATCTATCACAATCTATTGGATATACTTCCTCAGACCCCTCAGTCTCTCCTTAGCCGTATCCAAAACATCATCATTTTTGCAAACCGCAAACCGCAGATAATCCTCCGCCAAGTGCGCATTCTGTTCAGTATAAAACTCCGTTGGTGGAATAGCCGCCACACCCACCTCCTGGATCAAAAACCAGCAAAGCTTGAAGTCCCGTGGCCTGTTCGCAACATGGGCAGGGAAGGGGTAATCGTCTGGCAGCTTGACCTTGCTGAAGTTGACGAGCACGAAGTAACCGCCCTCAGGCTCGGAGTAAGGCAGTCCTAGCTCGGGCCAGATGTCATTGAAGCGGTCCATCTTGGCCTTCATCTCGGCGTTGGCTTCGGTCCAGAACCCGTTCTTGTCGGCTTCGTTGAAGCCGATGGCGCAGGCCTCTTGGAGCGGAGACACAGAGCTGTAGCAGATGCGGGTGTGGGCTGCGGCGACGTACTTGATGAGGTGGGGTTGCCCGATGAGCCAGCCGACGCGCCAGCCTGTGGCGTAGAAGTTCTTGCCAGCTGAGCCGACGGTGAGGGTTAGGCGCTCGATTTCGGGGGAGAGCGTGGCGATGCGGGTGAATGGGACATAGTAGAGGCGATCATAGACTTCGTCGGAGAGGATGATGATGTTGTTTTCGACGCACAGCTGGCCGATCTTGAGGAGCTCGTCTTTGGAGAAGACTTTGCCGACGGGGTTGTGGGGGGTGTTGAGGACGATCATCTTGGTTTTTGTGGTTACGGCGGCCTTGAGCTCATCGAAGTCGATGGACCATTCTCCTGCTGAGGAGGTCTCGGTGGCACCGTTTGCAGGTGGGTGAAGAGGGACGTATACGACCTTTCCGCCGGGCATGGCGATGTTGCTGATGTATTGGTCGAAGAACGGCTCGAACACAATAACCTCGTCTCCCGGCTCGATGAAGCCCATGAATGCACTCAGCATGCCTATTATCATTAGCATTGTAGGCGTTATGGTCATTGCGTTGCATACCCTCATTTGCACCAGTGGTGATTGTGACCTCAGTGACAGGGTCGATTTCTCTGCCCCAGAATGGAGAGTAGGCATCGGCAAGTGCCTTCTTTAGAGAGGGACGACCCGTCGTGGGAGAGTATTGGTTGCATTCGACTCTATCCAGAGAAGCTTTGGCAGCGTCGGTAATGAACTTGGGGGGGTTGTATCCGAAGAAGCCCTGTCCCATGTTGACAATTGGCTGCTTTGGAGACGCCGCAGCAGCCTCATTCACAATTGTCCTGTTTGGGTCAGTATGGATATAGAATTTAAGCAGGCCAAGGCGCCAGGAATCACAGGTAGCTCGAGGAAGCACCAAACATACCACACATCTTGTCTGTTATTGGAGACCCTAGCCGCGGGTAGCAGCTTCGCTCTGTTGTCCATTGTCGTGCTGAAGCTTCTCACAGCCAGGCACTTAGCTTGTGTATGTTCGGTCCTTCTCAATGCAAGGAAGCTGGAGAGAATGGGAGAGCTTCGTTGAAGTTTCATGAATAGCTCTCCTGCTGCAAAGGGTTCAGATCAAGAGGACGGTGAGGGGCAACGAGGCTATGGCGGGGGAAGAAGAGGGGGTTATTCAACTGTCAAGAGTGAGTTGTGAACAATTATAAGAGGGGGGGTCATACACGACGGTAACTTACGTTTTAGAATTCTAGTTCCGTCCTCATCTGCCAGTAATAGTTGGGGTAACATTGCGGGGTAGAGTATGATGTCCCAAGGTTCCACTACTCCGTAAATCGAGGCCGGAATCGGCGGAACTATGTTGCCCAAAACCCGTAAAACCTGTCAGCCTTGCGTTGTTGGCTTCAGGCTGCGGAGCTTCAACTTCATCATCGCGTCCACGCCTATTGTATATACGCATATCGCCAACTTACTGCGATTGACCTACCCCTGCCTCTGCTTGGGATTTATGCTACTCCAACTGATTAACATTGCATGCGAAACCCCGAAGCTCTACCACCGGCCACGAGGCCGCAACATCCTCTCTCCTCCACGGTGACAGTGACAAACACACAACCATGGAGGAACCAACCACCGCCCCGCCACCAAAGGCCGAAGCCCCTTTCCCCCTCACAGTCCGCTTCACCACCTCCCTCCCCGACCTCGACCTCGACATCCCCCTCCCCAGCCGCACCACAATCATAACCCTCAAATCACTCATCCGTGCCTCCCTCCCTCCCTCCCACTCCCTCAACCGCCTCCGCCTCATATACTCCGGCCGCCTCCTCCCCGACTCCTCCCTCCTCACCACCGTTCTCAAACCCCCGCCTCCCCCACCGCCCCAAGCTGACCGAAAAGGCAAAGCCCCCGTCCCGCCCACACAACGCATCTACATCAACTGCTCTATCGGCGACGCCCTCTCAGCCGCCGACCTCGCCTCCGAAGCTAGCAGCGCGCGGGCCCCCTCACCCGCCGCCCCTGTCGCTGCACCCACCACGACAGCGGCGCAGCCGCGCGGTTTCGACAGGTTGTTGACCTCGTCGTTTACCCCGGCGGAGGTGGGCGCGCTGCGGCTGCAGTTCATGGCTGTGCAGGCGTCGATGCATACCCCTGATACGATGCCGTCGCCGACGACGCTGCGGAGGATGGAGGATGCGTGGCTGGATGATAACGGGAGTGGGGGTGGGGTGGCGGAGGTGGAGGCTGCGGGGGGGCGTTGGATGATTTGTTGTGGGGGCATGTGATGGGGTTTTTGTGGCCGTTGGGGGCGCTGGGATGGTTGGGGAGGGAGGAGTGGGCGTGGAGTGAACGAAGGAGGATGGCGGTTTGGAGTGGGGTGGTGTTGGGGATGGGGTTTGGGTTGATGAGGATGATGGGGTAGGGGGAGAGGGCCGACCGTTGTGTACTCTATGATGAATGGAGAGAGGGAGGTGGTATAATAGGGCAGCGTAGCATTGTGTTTGGGTTTGCGCACCTTTTGAGATATTGTGCAACAAACAAGCCAGACAGATCAGCCCCGACTTCTCCGAGAAGGACGACAGATCAGCCCCGACTTCTCCGGGAAGGACGACAGATCAGCCGCCTCGACTTCTCAGGGAAGGACGACAGATCAGCCGCCCCGACTTCTCCGAGAAGGACGAATGTGATATTGGTCCGAGGGTATGAAAATCACAGTACGGGACTAGAGAATCAGTTATGACGGTGATCGCCTGGGATCAGTGCGCTGCTAGGTCTCACATCGCCTGAAACGAAAGAAATTTCAGGGTGGAGACGAGACCCTGTTTGCGCGGTGACGCTACAGGTGCTGCTTATGGGTGGTCGTCGCTGCTTTTCCGGTCTAAAAGAGCCTGTAGACACACCAGGTACTTCCAGTACCGTACTACAATGGGTGTACTGCGTGGTACCGTACATGCCCATGTGAGGTTGGTGGCGGAAAGGCCGTCTACGCTCTAAATTTAGCGAATGAGCCAGTCACAAACCCCCGTGATTTGTGCTATTCTTCTCTGGACCGACTTTCAAGGTTTCATTGCAAGTCTAAGACCCGAAGGGCTCATGCAATGACGACTCACACTCTCTTTTGACCTTGGATCAGCTACTTCGCCTTCGCCAGCTCGTCACTCTTCATATCCTCTCGTCGCTCGTCTTGCATTCACGTTCTCTTCAACTATACTCCGTACAGTACCTGCAGTCTTGCACCCCGCAGCTTCTTGCTCAGCCTTACGACTACGCCGCCTTCCTCGTGATCTATGACACCTCCCAGTATTACAACTACGCCTCTTCGCGTGATACACGCTCCACCGACTCGAGAGCTTCCAGTTGCTTTGACTCGACAGCTCTGAAGCAAACCGTACTGCCCACGGACAAAGCGGAGCACGGTGCGCTCTCAAGTCACACACGACCTTTTCGACACACGACGACACCTTTTCCCACAAACCCAAACAAAGCAACCATGAAGGAAATACCTGAGCACCAAGACTCGCCCGACGAGACCACGAACCAGCCCACACCGCCGGACAACATGGTCGAAGACACCTCGTTCGAGGACGCCCAGCCCTCTCACGAGGACAGCCAACGCTCGCTCCCACCACGCATCGCAGCGCGGTTCTACCGGCCCTCATTCAGCCGCCGCAAGTCGTCCGCCGCGTCGTCACGCCGGAACTCCATATCATCCATGCAGTCACACCACTCGCACGCCTCAAACCTCTCGCTCCACGGCGGACCGCAGAGCAACCACATCGCGCAGCACCTGCGCCGCGCGTCCATCATCGAGGACCGCCGAGCGCGGCTCGCAGACCGCGCCGCACACGCGGAGAAAGTGCGATTGCGGGCCGCGCTGGCCAAGGCGGCGCCGCGGAGCACGAATAACTCGGAAGAGCGAGCGCTGGCGGCGCAGCAGGCGCGAGAGAAGAATTTAGCAGAGATTGTGGCGAGCTGTGCGGAGGAGGTTAAGAGGGCGAAGGGGATTGCGGAGAGCATGAAGGAGAAGCGCGAGGCGGAAGGGAAGAAGCTGAGGAGGCATATGGAGGAGAGATTGGCGGAGGCGGAGCGGAGGAGGGAGGAGATTTTGAATCGCGGGCATGGACATGGGAAGAGGGGGAGGACTTCGAGTATGGCGAGGGATTCGTCGCCGAGCGCGAATAAGTGCCTCTCGCCGATGCCAGAAGCTCTGGAACCTATATCTGAAGATACGGCTGCCAGCCGTATCCAGAACTCTTGGAGGACGCATATACGCTGGAAGGCTTTGAAGGAGTTTACTGAGCTTGGGTTGACGATTGAAAAAGCTCGGGATACTTCCTTTGAGGATGTAGTAACCCTGCTGGCCCAGGAGAAGGTCCTCCTAAGCACTGCTCAGATACTTCGGATATGTGGTCTGAAGGAAGGGGAGAGCGGATCTGTCAATGAAATGACCGCAGTGCGGACATTTCTCAGTGCCTTCCTCATCCTCGGACACCCGACTCAAGTGCTGAGCAGTAAAGGGGGTAATGGGGAGCAAGAGCAGGTGGGAGCGGCCCCAAGCGCGCCTATGTGCCGTGATGACCTTGCTAATCCACAGTTACAGGAGCTTGTTGCGAAGGCCGGGGATTTACTCATATCCTTCGAGAACGTTATATCGCGGTTAACTGCCTTCAATAACTATACCCCCCCGCCTAGACAGCTTGCTCCGTTGTCGGAGTCGTATGCGACGTTTTACAATGCCTTCATTGCATGGAAGGCTCGCGACTCTAATACATTGGTTGACATGATGGTCTTGCAGTTTGTTGAGCTCGACGCTATATGGGAGACTGTCAAGGATAGCACAGAGGAGGCTGTTACGGCTTCTTACCGTGATGGCATTCGAGCGAATCAGCTGAAACTCATGGTCAGGATCAAGAAGTTGGCAGGCCCTGTGCACGGCAAGCGACTCATATCCAATGCCATTAAAGAAGCCCGGAAGGCAAGGGCAACCAAGCCGACTGGGGATTCTCGCCCAAGAGCAAGCGTAATAAGCTCAACTCCGACGCCTGATCTTCAGGAGCTGGCCAAGTCGGAGCAGACGGTGGAGAAGCACCTCCAGACCATGACGCCTCCGGCGACGCCTACGCGGTCCGCACCTGTCGCTGATGCGAATCATGCGGAGCGGCTCAAGACGGTGCAATCATTGCTGCCCGACAACCGCAATGTCATCCATGAACTGGCGATCGATAAGGAGTATCGTATCGCGATGGAGGACTGCCTAGAGCAGCGCGGCGTGGTCAACCGCGCGATCTTCGACGCTATGCGCCGTGAGGTCGCCACTGGCAACAGTGATCCGTGGACTCTGGCCATGGCGGAGAACATCAAGGGCAAGCTTCACAGGCTGCTGCAGCCTAACACGTCGCTGCACAACTTGATTAGTGGGGTGTTGGATGTTGATGTCGTTCGTCAGGAGCTCCGCGCTGGTAGCTTCTCATACGAGAAGTTCTTCTCATTCATGAGCACCATCCTGCCCAAGCTCTGCGCCCCGATCCGCGACGAAGAGGTCAAGGACCTAGTCCAGAACAAGCTCCAGAACGAAGACCTAGTCACTCGTCTAGAGGCGCTCATGCATTTCATCGACGTAATGCAGCTCGACTACGCGAACTACATGCTCTCCGAGTCCTCCCCAGAGCTCATCAAACACGCCATCCCCTACGAGCAAAAGCATTTCGCTGACAGTCTCGAACAGGGTCTGCACACCCTCGAGCACACTGAAACCTGGTGGAACTCCGCGCGCACTAAAGTCCTCGACGAAACCGCCCGCCGTGACCCCGAAGGCATCAATCTCCCGCGTAGTCGTCCGACTCCCGAGAAATTTTACTCCCAAATGCTCATCGATGTCTTTACCGATATTAGCGCGGAGTCTGGGCCGCATCTCCCTGAGACCCTGCAACTCGACGCACGCCGCATTAAGCACGTGCGCGCTGACTTGCTGCGTATCCTCTGCGCCGGCGCAGTGCTCATCCAGGCAAAGAACCTGCTCAAGCGCGACGTGCGCAGCCAGTGGAAGACCGAGGCGTCGCGCATCCTCAGCGTGCTCGAGGGCGCCAAGTCGGCTGCCTCGGCGAAAGACGGGATTCAAGCCGCCCTTGAATCTTGCAGAAGTATGCCGTCAGCCACCAAGGCGCATCTGCGCGAACTGGTCGCCAGGGTCGCGGAGAATACCTACGAGCTCGGCTTGATGGAGACGGCCACGCTGAGGGAGCCGGTCATGAGATTGTTGCTGAAGAGGCTGAGGACCCATGTCCTAGCCCGTGTGTCGGCGACGACGGCGAGCGAGAAGGTGAAGGCTACCACGACGGCGAGTGAGGGGCTCGCGACGCTGGGCTTGCCGGAGTTCGTGGCGCCGATTGGAAAGATTGTGGAGGAGATTGCGAGGGTGGGTGCTGTGGATCGGGAGGCGCATGCGTTGTGGTATGAGATTTTGGAGAAGAAGGCTGCGGCGGGGCAGGAGGATTTGGTGCGTGCTTAGGTTTAGGTTGGGAGGCTGGAAGGCTGGGAGGTTTGGGGGATCGGATGGGAGGATGGGGGGATTTTGGGTGTTTTATTGTTTTGGGAATGGCATTGGATGGGTTCGGATTGGATGGCGTTTGGGATAGGGAGGCGGCTTGGGATGGGCTGGTTTAGATTCCCCTGGGTTGTTTTGAATTGTATGAATGGGTTTGGATTTGGCACTTTGGAAGGGGGGTGCCGATAGCGTTGGCATTTGGAGATTATAGAGAGAAGGCTTGTTAGAGGCAGAGCGAGAAGCATACTGCAATATATTGCATCAGCGTTGCCGATTGGCATTTCAAGTTGTTGCTGTCTTTTATGGAAATCTTTTGTGTTTTTGTTGTTGTGGCAGATGGGGGTCTTCAAAGACGCTACAGTTAACTAACCCTTTGTATAAGGGTCCTGCAGATAAGGATACCTAAATTATTAAGAACTTTGATCTCAGTCCTGCCTCATGGATCTTATAGTATGAGCCCGTAAACTATAATAAAACAAGTATCTGCCAAGGCGAGGCTCCAGAAGTTGACCAGACCAGCCCGCTTCATTGGCCCCCGCAACAAAGCTATAAAAAATAATTCACGTGACCCAGAGATTAGAGGAAATTTATTTCTCGCCAGCATCCAGCGATGATAATAAATCGCAACTCTCCCCGGTGAAATCCAACGCTCACCTCACCTCTCAAAGCGTGTCACCCACCCACCGTCACTTACCTGGCTCCGACCAGCGGACACACGAGACACAATGTCGACCAAGCGCAAGCTCCCCTCCAAACTCGCGGCGCCGGTGGTGAAGCCCGCGCGTACACCGAGCAAACAGATTCTCTCCGAAGCACGCGCTGTTGTTACCGGGTCAGCGCTAGACCTCGACTCTCCATCCGTCCAACTTAACGGCTCAAACCACCTCGATCTCACCCACCTCTCCTCTGATAACTCCTCCTCCGACGATGATGAGGACGAAGACCCAGCGAACTTCCACGCCGAAGGGCCCACAGACGACGCAGACGACATCTCCATGGCCGACGCCGCGGAGCCGAGCTTCGGCGACCTAATCTTCGCGCACACCAGCGAGCCCATCTCCGTCTCCTCCTCCTTCCCCGCCACGAAAACCGCGTCCTCTGCTCTCGCTGCTCCCTCGGGCGCCAGTCTGGGAGTTGCGCTCAGCCAGGCGCTGAAGACGTCTGATCACGCCTTGTTGGAGAGCTGTCTGCAGACGTCTGACTTGCCGACTATTCGCGCTACGATCCAGAGGCTGGCGGCGCCGTTGGCGACGCCGCTGTTGAGCTTGTTGGCGGGGAGGTTGCATAGACGGCCGGGACGGGCGGGGAGTCTGATGGTGTGGATCCAGTGGACGCTTGTTACGCATGGAGGGTACCTGGCGACGCAGCCGCAGGTTGTGGCGAAGCTGGCGGAGCTGAATAGGGTTATTGAGGAGAGGGCGAGGGGGTTGCAGGGGTTGTTGGCGTTGAAGGGGAAGTTGGATTTGTTGGATGCGCAGATGCAGTTGAGGAAGAGTGTGAGGGAGGCGAGGATGGGGGAGGAGGAGGAGGAGGATGAGGATGTGGTGTATGTGGAGGGCGAGGAGAGCGAGGCGGAGGCGGTGGAGGGGAAGAGTAAGAAGTTGAAGAGGAGTGAGGAGTTTGGGGATAGTGAGAGTGAGATGTCGGATGATATGCCTGATACCCTTGGCGATCGCATTATTGCAGATTCGGATGATGAGGAGGAGGATAGTGATGATGAGGGTGGGCTGCTGGATGATGAGGCGGAGGAGACGGATGATGATAGCGGGGATGACGAGGAGGAGGTGGACTTTGATGACGCCGATGAGGATGAAGAGGACAGCGATGACGCTGCCGCCGCCACGCCTGTGCGCTCGTCAAAAATGGCAAAGGTCAATGGTATGTTTGGGAAGTCGAGATAAACAAAAGTGGGCCTACATATGCGATTGCAGCTAGACGGGGAAGGCTGGGGCGGGGTGCATCGGATACTGGGGAATGTGAGAGAGCCTGAGAAGCGGCGGATCGGGAAGCGTAATGTTATGCATGGGCCGGCGTTGTTTCTGCACTCGTTTTCTACCCCGTCCGATCAGAGAGGGGACGTTGTTCATATAGTTGAATGTGCGGCATTGCTGCATGGCATGTGTAGCGTTAGATGGGACTGGAATTAGGAATACGAAAGGCACTGAGGAAAGAATCTCGTGTTCATTGTTTGAAAGTGAAATGTACAGAAAAAAACAGGCAGTGCTGCATAAACGAGAAATTGCTGATTTGCTAAAGGACAGTCAAACTACGGTTGGTAAATAGACAAAGCAATATAACTCGAAACCGGGAACACTGTCCTTCCGCCCACCGCCCTGGCTGAGAAATAGCATCCCTAATGCACTCCCCATTATAAGAATCTTCTATTGTTCCTGTACCGCGGCGGCGTATAAACCTTGTCAAACGGCACCGGCCTCCCACTGCCACTTCCCCCCTGCCCCTGGGGCCTTAAACTACACCAAATCTTTCCATGGACATCCTCCCCCTCCCCCTCCCCGTCGAAAAACGATCTGATAGTCCTATAATCCGGAAAGTCCCGCGCCTGGGGATCGTCCCCCCCATAATGCATCATGAGTTGTGACGGGACCCTAAAATCTGGCCGCATAGCGTTGTCGATGACCGCCTTCTTCAGCCTCATTATCGTCATTTGATACGCGACCTTCAGTGTCAATTGGCCTACTCTATCCTCCACCCCGGGCGTCGGCTTGATGTATATAGTCAGCAGGAGCGACCTCGCGAGCCCCCCAGGCACAAACGCCGGCGTGGCCATTTTGCGGAAGCACTCCAGATGCGCGCTGCGCACGCGCGGCGCCGGCCCATATCCCAGGTCCGCGAGCGGCTTGCTCAGGGGCAGTTCCTGTGGCGTCCCGGGCCGGGCGAACCTGCAACGCACGGCGAGCGCGACGCCGCTGCTCTCGTCTGCCGTCATGACCCGCAGCAGATCTCGGATGGTGGCGCTGATGGGGATGGCGAAGATGCGCATCTGGGCCACGGGCTCGTCGGCGGGGTTGGGTAGTGGCCCAGGCCAGATCCGCACGGGCATTAGGAAGTCCTGCTCTGCTGTTGGCGGCTGGGGGACTGGCACCGCTGCGCGATTGAGATCGACGGAGTGGAGCCAATTGTTCATCATGTCGATTTGGCGGATAGGCGCCGGCTCGCTCTGCCGCGACCTCTTGGGATCCGGCGCCGGCCCCTGGGAGGGCCGTTTTTGTGGCCGTGGAACTTTGGCTGGGGGAGGGCATTTTATGCCTTTCACTACCTTACCCCAGTCTGGCTCCTTTGGGGGTGCGTTACCGGCCGCCGCCGGTTTCGATTTTCTGGGAACCTTCCCATCGAGGATATCAATGGGCTGCGTGAACTTGTCCCCTGGCCAAGGTTTGTGGTGTACGACGGGCTCGGTGTTCGCCGAAGGCTGCTGCGCTTGAGTCGTACCACTTGGTCCCGCTGCGGGAGGCGCTCTAGGCTGATTATTGTTCACGGGTGGATTCTGCCCTGTGGTCGGGCCAGGAGGAGGGTCAGCGCCCTGGTTACCGGCTGGGGGAGGATTCTGTCCTGTGGCCGGGCCACCAGGAGGGTTACCCCCCTGGTTATTGGCCGTGGGAGGATTCTGTGGAGTGTACTTCTTCGCGAGGTCGACCTGATGCGCCTGCCGGCGACGCAGGTTCACGACCTCTTCCATTTCAGGGATCCGCTGAGGCCATACGACACTCGGGTTCTGTCCAAACCATCGATCGAGCATCAAAGTGTCGACGGGTTTGAGCTTCTCATATATTTTCGAAGCTGTGGCTCCCCAGGGGTTGATGCGTTTGAGGCCGTCTCGTGTCCTCCTGAGCAATTCCACGGCGGTGGGTCGATAGCGCGGATCCAAGTGTAGACATTCGGCGGCGAGGCCTCGCAAAGTTCTGCTAAGTCTGGTTTCCAATTCCAGATCTTGTCCTCCCATAGTTCTGTGCATCTTATTTCGCCCTGTGAGGGTCGTCCAGGTAGGAGGGTCATAATCGGGGAAAATATTAGTTTGCATTAGGCAATACATTATGCACCCAATCTGAAAAATATTCGTGCATGCTGCGTATCGTCGTCTGGCACGTGGAAGTTTTCCTTGTTGTTCCTAAGTAATATCAGCATACTAGAGCCAAAGCTAGCGAAAGGGGAGATGGCCGTACCGGCGCCCTAAAAATAACAGTTCCCACCTCTTCATACTCCTTTAAGATGACATCGTGATCTCTGTGGGGCCCATTCCGTTCGTTGGGGAGAACCTCGGAGATCCCAAAGTCTGAGATCACAACCCGCTTAGCACCGATATGTTCATCATTATCACGCACCGTAATCAGCGCATTGTCGGGCTTGATATCGAAGTGCACTACCTCACGCTCGTGACCCCACGGCTCCCTACGCGAAAACCGAGATTCCGAGTCCTGTTCATGCCCACGCTCCAGAACCACGATCGCTTTCGCGAAGCAGTGGAACCACGACCACAGATCAGTCTCGGGGGTGAGGTTGCCATGGTAAGAGCTATCATTGATGTAAGCGGCAAGGCTACCCCCCGCGCAGAACTCCATGAATATGCGATGCACCTCCCTCCTCTTCTGATCAACCGATACCCGATCCTGCTGCCCGACATCGCGGTGAATGCGGCCATAGATTTGAGGAAAGTGTCTCGACCCCGTCTTGGTCAGCATTTCCATGATAAATGCCTCGTTGATCAAACCTTTACTAGTCACCGCGCTCGCCTGCTTGACAACGATATCGTGAATCTCCCCCTGCACATACCCCATTTTATGTGCACCCTCTGCCTCATATCGCCAGTGGCCAGCAATCCCGTAGCCACCAGCCCCTAGGACACGGATAGCCACCCACCCCTCCGGGAAGCTCTTGTTCCACTTATCCGAGCCATACAGCCAGTCGCTAGCGCGTGGGTCGGCCTCGTCAATCAGAGTCTCCGCCGAATCTCCGATCAAGCCCTCTGGGGGATTCCCGACTTGGTTCCACTGGAAGGCGCTGATTTTGCGATCCCTGATCGCCCTGTAGTTCTTTGTGTTTATCGGAGTGGTCCCCCATTTCGAGTGTAGCCATAGGGCCATGTTGTATGATTTGAACCCCAAACTTGGGTATGGTGTTGCTGGATAGACCGATATATGAGAGGACACGAAGATCGGTGATCTGCCAGAAAGAACGAGGTTATGAATATGCAGAAAATGTGTCCAACTCCAAATGCGCCCTCAGAGAACTTTAATGCCATGAAGACAATGAAATAGTTCGGTGACTTTCCTTCCTTTGTGCCGCCCAAAAAGATCCTTTTATTCGAGTCTGCTCCACCGCAAACATTATCCGCAACCGTCGGAGGAACAAAGACGAGTCGACGCGACCAATAGGCACTCCCCGAACTTCTTTTCAGAAATATCGTGATTTTCAACCACAAACACACGACACTGATCCACCAGCCACCCCTCTCCGGAACAGTCACGTGTTAACGCCCCCTCAACCTCCCAATATCCCCCTTAACCTCCTCAACCTCCCCCTCCATCTCCTCCCACACCCTAGCAATCTCCCTCATAATCCTCTCTTTCCCCCCCTCCTCCCTACCAACCCCATACCTGCCCAACTCCCTCTCCGCCCCCCCTTTCCTACTCTCCATCCTCACTTTCCCATCCCTTAAATGCTCTCGGTACACCTGCAACGCTCTGACCGCTTCGGGCCCGTAGACGAGGTCTGCTGCTATGCGCGATTTGGACTCGGCTTCCGCTGCTGTGGTGGCGCAGGATAAGGAGAGCATCTCAGCGTGGGCGCGGGAGTGCCGGGAGAGGCAGCCGTGGGTTGTTTGTTCGAGGATGCGGATTACTGTTGCTGCCTGCGCGGTGTAGAGGTGCAGTAACTTTACAGCGAGATCGGTGAGGGTGGTGCGTTTCGCCGCCAGGCGGAGACGAAGGCCGGTGACATGATCACGCAGGGCGATGATAGAAATGGCGAGACTGGGGATCTGACGATGAAGGAAAGAGGGATTGGTATGTGGATTCATCAACCTAGTTAGCGGGAGAGCATGGGACGTGAGGTGAGTTGACACGAGCGCAGCGATGGCCTGGATATTGGCGGATAAGTTTGGAAGTGGAAGTGCGGTTGGCGAGCGGAGAGAGAGGGTGAGTAGGATGATTAACTCCGTTAGCTTTGCAGGCAGTGGGATTTCCGTAACGGGTGTGGATTGCCGACTTGATGATGTCTTTGTAGACGCCGGAGCGGGAGAGGTGAGAGGGAGCTCTTCAAGGGCTTTCTGCAGGACCTTGGCCCGCGTAAACTTTAGACGGAGGGTTTTAAGTTCCTGGACTTCTATTAGGTAGGTGTCTTCTCTAGCAGGAATGGGGGACACACAGTAGCCTGCGCATGACGCTCCCACTCCTTGGGATGATTCCTCGTCCCCCCATCCGGTTTGAGGTGTTTCGTCACCAGCGTCTTATGCAACAATGCAAACTTGGGGTTTGCTGCCAGGACGGCGCTGTCAATTGGGGGTATCATTGCGGATGTTTTTGTGTATGGGTGGTGGACAGACAGCGTTGAGGGGGGAGGGGAGTTGTTTACTGGGAGCGAGGCTGCCAGGCACACGTGGTGAGGGAGACGCGCTGGGTGGAGATCCACAGCGGGTAGATCCGCTGGGTGGGTGTATGGCAAGGGCCCTGACGGCTACTGTACGAGTTTATAAATTAATTTACAGTTTACAGTAAGTTAGTTAAGTTACACTCCCGGTCATGATTCTTGGAGTAACGCGCATGTAACTCTCCATCCTCCAAGCTAAGTATAGGCCACATCCATCCATCCCACTCCCACTCCCACACACCGCATCAAAAGCTGAAAAAGCTTGCCGCATCCTTCCCAGCTTTCCGTACCAATCAAGTCCGCTTCCCGGTAGAATGGGTACATATTCCCATCCCAGGATGCGGGGCAGGGGACTGGGGGAAGGGCTATCAAACCAAGGATCCCGGCAATAGTATGTATGTTGTTGGATAAGGGAAAGGGGGGGATTGCGGCTCTGCGGAGACAGGGAGGGGAGGGTGATGTATATGAGGGGGGGTTGGGGAGTTTTGGGTGGCCTCGGTAGGTGATTTTCTGGTTTATCATCTTATAAAAAATTTAAAGTGTTTGCGTGTTTGCGTGTTTGCGGATTGTTTTCGAGGAGGATTGCAATATATGGTTTGACTATTCACTTCAGAGTCAAGGCATAGGACTGAACCCAGAGGGTAAAGATCTATACTCACCACGAAGATACCTGGATTAACAGTACAGGGGTAAGTGAGAAACAGAACTGGATTGCGAAAGCTCAGGTCCATACTCACCACAGAAAGCACAGATACAGACTCACCTTTTTGGGCAGAGTCAACTCACCTTGTCGTACCAGAAAGGCATTCCAAAGACACCACCTCGCCACTCACCCACAACTTACCAACCCCACCACCAAACCATGGACCTCACCCCCACCGCCATACCCCTCGTCATCCACCCAACCGCCGCATTCACCACCTCCCCCCCTCCTTCTCCACCATCACCCACCATACTCCCCTGGCCCCTCCCCCCCCTCAACCCCTCCACACGAATCAACAGCCTCACCCCCGTCCTCAACCCTCACTGGCGCCTCGACCTCTGCAGCTCCCAAGGAACCCAATTCCACACCACCCCCCTCACCCACCCTCTCCCACCCCCCCTTTTTATCACCACCACCATCCCACCTCCCTCCGCACACCCAACTCTCTCGCACCTCCTCGACCTCCCCCAAGCATTCAGCTGCCGCGGCGACTCCATCCAGAGGCTCGGGATCGCTCAGCACGTTCTCCGCGCCTTGGAGCACTATTCAGCCACACACCCTCGCTTTGAAGAGACATACCGCACCCTTCCCTTCGGCTCCCAAATCGTCATCTCGCGCCTACACAAAGACGTTAGCAAATGCCACATCACCCTCCTTCGCAACACGCAGTTAGAGCACACGCTCCTCACCCCCTCTGCGCTCGCCGCGCTCGCCCCTGAGATCCCTTCCGCGGACTGGCCGGAAGCACTGAATATAACCTCGTTGACCCTAGTGCGTCAGATCCATGACAGCGTCTGCGTCGTCGCTCTCCCATCTTCCGGGTTAGGAGAGCCGCGGGAACTGGTCATGAAAGCTGTGACGGGTGATCCAAAGTACTTGTACCACGAGCTGATTTCGCTACTTTCCCTCCCAGCGCATCGCAACATTATCCGCCCGCTCTACCTCACGACGAAGAAATGCAGGTTTGGCGGCAAGGTAGGTGTTGTGGGGATGCTGCTCCCGTTCCACCGCGCAGGAAGCCTTCGGGATGTGCTACCCCTTCGTTCTCTAACTGGGACATTGGGCTGGAACGATCAAATGTGCTGGGCAAAGGGATTAGCCACCGCACTTGTGCATATTGTGCGCCAAGGGGGATATTATTCCGACCTGAGGGTTGATAATGTGGTGCTTGCCGAGAACGGGGAGGCTGTTTTGGTGGATTTTGAGCAGAGGGGTGTGTGGGTGGGATTTTCGGCGCCAGAGGTCGCATGTATCGAGAATTTAGCTATCATTGCGATGAGTGCCCATGGGGAGGTGCCGGAGGGAGTCAGGGCCGAGTATCGTGCGAAGATGGATCGGTTCGTGCCCGGGTGGAGGGGCGTAGGGAAGGGGGCGCACAAGGGGAAGACCGAGGGGTTTGCATTGGGGTGGTTGGCGATGGACGCGGAGGAGAGGGAGGCAGCGATGGTATATATGCTTGGTAGGGCACTGTGGTGTATATTCGAGGGAGTGGGAATGCCAGAGCGAGCAGTGTGGAGGCAGGGTGGAGAAGGAGGGATGGAATTCCCAGCATATAGGAGGGCGGGGCAGAGGGAGAGGGAGTTGATTGATAGGTGCACGATGGGAAGGGTGGAGGGGAGGAGAGAGCAAGGAGTGGTGAGATCGGGGGGAAGGATTGTGTTGAAGGAAGGAGATGGGACGGAGAGTGCGGAGGTGGTGCAAAGGGCTGCGAAGGAGTGGTGGATTGAGGAGCTGGGGAGGGGAGAAAGGTTCTTGGAGGAGAGAGAGATAATGAGGGAGGAGAGAAGAGAAAGGGGGGTGACTGGAGGTTCTTCTATGTTTGGTGGGAGGCCGAGATTGGAGGAGGTGCTTGATATTTTGGAGAGTTGGGAGATGTGATGTGTGAAGTTGGCCGATTGGGTAACGGGTTAGGTGTTGGTGATGGACTCCACAGCGGTCTGTGATTCCCGAGATGCCGGGAGAGAAAAGGATTGGATGTTGGTCCATTGGATATTGATGCCCACCGGTTGGTGAAGCGGGAAGGAGCGAGTTCGTGAGATGCTGGAATGGTGGACGCAATCTTATTGGATACGGGATTTTATTGAATCAAGTATGTTTTGGAGCGAGGCTCATTCCCATAGTTCCCTTTGAACTCGTGTTCCCAAAGCCCGGTGAAGATCGAGAATTGCAATCGAGACTCTCGTCTTGTGTCCCACGCGCCGGCGAGAATGAGGTCTTCGCAACCCATGAACGTTTATTTCCGGCTCATATAATCGAAGTGACGATGAGCATGACAGATCATACTCTCACCACCCTGGCTCCTTCCTTCCTCGCTGACCGGTCCATAAAGCCGTTGCGTTTCACAGCATCGAAAGCACGTTGCCCCTCTCTGGTCTCTGCTCTCTGCTCTATTGACGCTCACCGGTGTCCATCACGGTAACCTGACGGTCCGATTCATCTCCATCTCCATCTTCATCGGTCTAGGCTTGGCCGACGGCGGAAGTGTCTCCGATCAGTGTCTTCGATTGACCGGTGTGGCAGTGAATGTTGTCTGTAGCCATTCGTCCGTTCTAATGCTGTGATCGTCAGCGTCATGCATATCCAACAACGCTGTGATGTAGCTGTTGATGCAACTGTGTATACTTGGACCCTGACCTATATGAGGCTCTCTCCCTCCTGTCCAGTTCCCCAGCTCCCCGTCCCCGCTTCATCCCTGGCTCCCGCGCCTTCCCCGACTCCACTGCGCCTCCACAGTGGTTCCTTCTCCCGCCACCATCAGCAGTAGTATCCATCACCACCATCCTTCTCATATCATCGAATCGAAACTCCGTATATCCCTATATCATAACCACCTGTTTATGACCCCTCTATTACCATCGTGTCACACAGAATCTAGCACTTGTATATCGTGACTACAAGTGCGAATTAGTTCCTTCGTGGCCCTGCCCAGCCTTGTTGGCTGTAGCTGTCACCGTCCACAGAATGTCTGTCCACAGCATGCCTGTTCATCCCCACAAGAGAACACCCGGCGATCAAGCATGTAGCTACTCATAAAATATGCAGATACTTATAATACTTATTATGCAGCTATCTTGGTCGGGTGTTTGTGCGGCTGAACTACTTGCGCTTCCATACCACACCGGTGAGCCAGCCTTGTTGTAACCCTGGAACCGGTGAGAAACAACCACATCGAACCTCCGCATCTACAACCAACACAATCCGACGCAACGCGATCTGCCCAACCCCACGGCATTTGCGGCCAACAATCCCACTTTGCTTCTCTGGATGTCTTTATATCTCTCTCTCTGAAACACTTGATTGCTCTGTACTCCACAACCGCAACTACAATCACAATCAACCAACCCATCACCACAACCGCTTCCGCTTCCACTTCCACCGCCACTCCTATTCCCAGCCTTGTCCTTGCTTTGCTTACTATCCCTTCCTTTCCAATTACCCTCTCTTCCCTGGATATCACCTACCCAGGTGCGACGCCACTGTCACTGCCCTGTCGCCCTGAGGACCCATACTGAGCCACTACCACTTCCTCCTACCCTACGGAGCATTCATGTCCTGTGTCCCCTCTGGCTTCGTTGCATGGTCCGACGTCTCATCCCGGCAGCACACAGAATAAATATGTCACTAGACCGAAACAGCCGGATCCCAACTGGAAGTGACGTCTCAGCTAAGATGGTAAGTTATTCACTCACTGACCGGCTCGCTCTTGATTCACTCTCTCGGCGATATAGTCTATATCTAAGCCTCTCCTCCCTTCGGCGAACAACATCAACCCACCCAAACCACCCATGCTTCTCCATAAACCAACCGCATCAATCTAACCCCATCCAGGCCAACTGCAAGAGAAAACACGACGTCGTCGTCGTCGACCCTACCAACCCCTCCACCTCCAAGCGTCCTAGATCCACCCACCCACAGCACTTCAACCTCGCACCCACAGAGGAGCGGGTTCGCCGAGCAGCTACTCTACTACGAATGCCCGTGACACGCCTGCGGTCAGTTATCTCCGACCTCGAGGAGGAAGAGCCTGAGCAGGAGCCCGAGCAGTTTGTGCCGTACTATGACTGGCCGCTTTCTCACCAACCACTCAGAATGAAACGCGCAATGGGCCGGGGGAGGAGCACCCCGAAGCCTCGGTCAACTGGTTCTATGGGCGAGAAAGCTGTGGGTGGGGAGATAAATAATTACACGGGAGGACAAGGAGAGAAGTCAGTGCCACAGTGGATGGGCCAAATGGATGGCTCGTCAGAATTTTTGGAACCTGCAAGTCAAGGTGGAAGAGATAATACCTTTTGTTTCCCGAAGGAGGTTTTGGTGGATTTCTTCTCAAATTGGTGCTCTGTGGACGACGAACCTTCACATGGCAATGGATACGGTAAGTGATTGGTGAGATTGGAAGAGGTTAGCTGATGGTGGCTACAGAAAATCAATCGATGCTACCACCTGCTTCGGCTTCGGCACCTCAGTTTGTGGGAGCTCAGTTCATGGACAGCTACTCCCCGAACTATGGAACCTCGATGACTAGCCTTCCCTATGCCTACGACAGTGGAGGCCATAATAGCTTTGCTATGGTATGCCTCCCAAACGGTTCCCTTGTAGCTTAACTAATGCTGCCAGGAAACGTCCTTTAGCTGTGACACCCCTGAATTCGGCGGTCCATGGATGCAGCCCCTCCAACAATACCAAGTTCAGACCCAACCTCTTAAGCAGGAGATGACCTATCTCCAGCTTCCTAGCTATACAGAATTCAACCCATCCTTTGCGAATACCAATGGATATCTCGAAGTACCACCCCCAGACTCTGGCTTTGTCTCCGATGCCAACCTTTCGCAACGGAAGTCAGAGACCAGACACGGCTCCGACAGCGGCCGTAGTATAGAAGATACAGAGTCATCAGTGACTACTGTACCAACGCGCCGAGGGCCATTCAAGAGCCAGCATGACCGAGACCAGACCGCGCAGACTCGGAAGGACGGGTGTTGCCTCCGCTGCCGGCACCAAAAAATACGTGTATGTCTCCCCTTTCAAAATTCTAAATCCCTGGTGTTACACGTCGCTAACGAAACCAGTGCATCCCGGATCCTGCCGACCCCAAAGGCGTCTGCCTCACCTGCAAGAACGTGAAGGCGGCCAACATGAAGGTTCAGAAGCCGACGTGTATCCGCCACAGGATCACAGATGTTCGCCTCTACAAGATGGGGCAAGTCCCAGGGTTCGAGTGGAGCCAACGGTGGTCGAACCGGACGCTGAAGGAAATGGGTACGTGGGCGAGCGTGGATACGATCACCATACAGGTTAGCGAGGGATATACTTCCACGCCGCTGAAGTTGGTGGTTTCCCAGTTTAAGCCGATGAAGGGAGATGTGCTGGAACGCAGTTGGGTGAGTAGTGCGGGCGTGAAGAAGAAGGTTGCGATCCCTTCATACGCTATCAAGGACCTGGCTGCGGCACGAGACGCATATAAGAACTACATTAATCAAGGCGGACCGGAATTCTTCCAGGGAGCTCTAGACCCCAAGGACAGGTTCCTCTGGATGACGTATAATATGGCCATTACCACCTCTAATGATCCGGATGTTGTAAGTTTCTCTTATTCTCGCCCATAAGCCGCGTCCACACTAACCATCCGTAGCCAATGGTCCAACGCAAACTCCTCACGATGGTCCTCCAACTTTGGGTTGCCATCCGCCTGAATACAAAGTCGACCAACATAGTCGGCCCCGAGACCCTCGGCATGACCCCCGACATCTTTGATGCCACGCACCCAACGCCAGGCCGCATCCCCATCCCGCCCATAATGGGTAACCAGATCGAACTGATCCTATCTCGGGACATCCAAGACCCGCTGCGGTCCGACATTCTCGATGCGCTGCAAAAGTTGATATATTCTAACAAGCCCGGGTTCTGGTTCACAATCTACTTGTGCACGTTCATCTTGCTGCATAACTGCTCTATGATCACCAAGCATGACTCGGCATACGCGAGGAAGCATGGGTTACAGGTACGTCAACCCCTATTTTCCCTTCACCTGGTAATTGATCAACCAACCAAACCATCCCCAAACAAAAAAAACCAACAAACGCATATATCATGCTAACCCGACCCCATAGGCCCGATTCGCACGACCGGCAATGGTGGCGGAATATCATGCCGGAGCCATGGCACTGCTTGCGCATTTCCACCTTTGCAATAAGGGCTCGTACCCGTTCAGCGCGGCGGCGGGCGAGAGGGCGGATATTTTGACTAACGCGGGGTTGACGGAGAAACAGAGCAAGTTCATTGAATCGACGAGAAAATTCGTTAATGTTAATGGTGAGTAACTAACTACATGCCCCTCGCCTTACCCGTCCCCACCAGCATTTTTCTCCGCGGAGATGTGAGAATGCAATCTTGGCTAACAGGGGCTAGCGGTCCGTTTTGAGGAGTTCCGATGGGCAGAAGCATTCGATAATGACTACTATTTCATATCCCAGTTGTACGAGCAAGACTGGAAACCTCGTATCAAGATCTGAGTTTCTTTGGCTGAGGAGGCTCCTACAGCACACCACACACTTTTATAAGAGTCATGGGGCCCAAGCATGCAGTCATTGATGAGAGTTATTATGAAATATGAAACAGCCGGAATGCTACGTATACATTGCACTTGCATTGCATGGCATGGCATCCACATGCAGTTCGCCGAGCTTGGACGAGCAAACAAATACGTTTTCTACTTCATTGCTTTTTTTGTGCTTTAAAAATATGTATAATAGCAAACAAGCCCAATCAGCAGGATTCTGGGAAAATACCCAGGGAACTGACGATCCTGCGGATGGAGAAATGGAGTCCGGAGGAATCTGTATGTCTAACCTATCGCGAATGGTAGCTCTTTCCATAATCCAAGAACGCTGGATAGGAAATATAGGCAGCTAGCCGAAACACCAGAAACCCACTTATCCCAATCCTCCAATCCCGCCGCACTCCCACCCAACTAAACCCATCACCCAAGCAACATACACCCCATCCAACAACAACCCAAACGCTCATTGGATAGATAATATAGGCATCCACGCCTCCATGGATTCTGAGGCTCAAGTGTCGGGATGGTGATTGGGAGACGCGTCGTGAGTGGGGGAGGAGTCATGTGTGTGGGTTTGCGTGATGACGATTCCTGTGCGAGGGTTTGAGGCTCTGTGGGTGGCAGGGCTAAAGTGGGTCGGCGGCGGGATGGGGGGGGTTGTTCGTTTCGTTTCATTTCAGTTTATGGTTTAGTGATAGGGACGGAGGAAGGGATGAAGAAAAAGGAGGGGGGGGGGAAGGGTTAAGATTCTCGGATCTTTTAGGGGGATGGGGGGGGGGTTATGCCTTGATTTGGATATCCGTGTCTGTCTGGATATTATGTTTGCAGGCCGGCGCAAGTGATTAAGAGGCGTGAATAAGCTTACGTCGCTTTGGAGCGCGTTGATTGAGTTGAGTCTGTCATGTGCAAGATATGATAGTAGTTATGGTGTGTGTATGGTCTGGTAAATTTTTGGGAAGGAGGGGGGTGCATCACGCATGAGGTGCTAAGATGGCTGGGATATTCGGAATTTGCAATCAATCTGCAAGGAAAACCGAGAAAGGTAGCTGATAGCAGATAGCTGCTGGGAGCTATAGGCAGCTATAGATAAACGGAATATAAATACTTGACTTGCTCCGCTTCAACCTTCTTCTTTCTTCTTCCTTATTCAACACCAGACAGATATATATCAGTCTTTACTCCGGCTTCGACCTTTCTTCTTCTCTATCCATCACCAATATCCACCAGGCCTACAACCCGATTCCTTCTTCTCTATTCATCACCAGCCACCAGTATCCTCGAGGTTCGAGCCACAACCTCACAAACATGGCACTCGTCCACCCAACCCTACCTCCCTCCACAACCTCACCCTCAGAACCCTACGACCTCCCCCCTTCCTTCCCCTCCTCCATCTCCTCACCTCTAGCCTGGACCGGCGCAGACCTCGCAGACGAGAGTTACATATACCACCTCACCCCCGCCTACCTCTCCGAGATCAAATATGCATTAGCAGTATTCAAATGCACGTCCCCCATTTCCCCCCTCTCCTGTCACCCAATAACCCCAGCGGGCCGTCCCGTCTCCCGCCCCGCCTCCCGGGCCTATCCGTAACCTAAAGATGGTTACACAGGGCCACATATACAGGCAGTTGAACAAAGACTAACCTCTTCTAGCACATAACCTAAACGGCGACCTTGCCACCCCCGCGACCTTCCCTCTCCCAACCCTCGGCCCAAAACTCCGCCTCCTCTCAAACGAACTATACGGCGGGAGGGGTGTATGCCTTATCCGCGGCTTGACGCCCGAGATGTATGAGCCGGAGGAGGAGATGGTGGTGTTTATGGGGGTGCAGAGTTATATGGCGAGGGGGAAGGGGAGGCAGGATGGGAGGGGGAATATGATTGGTGAGTCTCTTCGATTTTATTTTTGCGTTGGAAGGGGTTAGGGGATAAGGTGGCTAACGAAAGGGATAGTTCATATTACGCCGTCGGAATATGACGCAAAGCATTCGAGGCATTCGATGGATAGTTTGGTATGTCGCCCCTTTCTTCTCCACCTCCCCACTTTCCCATACCCCGCCCCCTATCCCGACCACCCACCCACTCACCAAACCTTTAACCCCACCAAACCTAACACCATCACAGCCCTTCCACACCGAAGCCACCGGCGACATCCTAGCCTGGCAAACCCGCGCCGCCGCCGCCGAAGGCGGGAAATTCATCGTCGCATCCGCATACACAGCCTACAACCTTCTCGCTGCCACCTGTCCCGAGGTTATCCACACGCTAGCTAAGCCAGATTGGCCGTTCGCATAGTAAGTCATCCTTCCACTTCCCCATCCTCCCCCCTCCCTCCTGTTTCACCTCCCACCCTCCACCCCGCATCAATGCACAGTAACAAGCTAACCACCCCTCCAGCCCAACCCTCCACCACCGCCGCATCCTCTACTACCACGCCTCAAACCTCCTCATCAACTTCTCCCCCTCCGCCCTCCTCTCCACCCCCTCCCACCCCCGCGCCCCCCACCTCCCCTCCCTCACCCCCTCCCAACTCTCCGCCCTCAACGCCCTCCAAGCCGTCGCCCGGGCTACCGAATTACACATCACTACCAAGGCGGGGGATTTGCATTTTGTGAATAACCTTGCGATTATGCATCGGCGGTCTGCGTTTTCTGCTTCTACCACCAAGGCAGTGGGTGAAGTGGATGGGGGGATGGAAGGAGGAGAAATAGAGCCAAAACGGCATCTGGTCCGCATGCGCCTCCGCTGCCCGGAGAAGGGGTGGGAAATACCAAGGGAGCTGGCGCCGGCGTGGGAGGAGGCGTTTGGGGAGGAGGGGGAGAGGGAGTGGCATCTTTTTCCGATGCCGGAGGGGTATTTTCCGTTGAGGAAGTATCCAGAGTGAGTTGCGGCACTTCTTGCTCCCTCATCGGGGTTTTGTGGAGTGCGAGTGGGATTGGGTTGGGGTTTTTCTAGGCTTCAATTCTTGGGTGGTTAGGGGTGTGACGTTTGAGGCTGGATACGGTACCTCACGGCTGTAACCCCCTTTTTCTATTTCTCGGTGGCCTTGAAGGCAGGGGTTTCTTGGGTGTTTCTCATTTTTGCGAGGACTTTGATACCATTTTCGGCGTGAATACCCCTTTATTTATTTTCCTGGTTTCGGTTGGGGTACCTTCAACGAGCTGTGCGCAGTTCGCATCTCGGGGTAACAGGGGAAGACTGTAGTGGTTGTACGATGAACGAGGCAGCGCCTCGGAAAACGCCTTGTGATGATATTTTCCCCGAGGGGCGGAGTGAAAAAGGGCGAGATTGTCTGAAGTACAAGGCTTTCGGGTGGCGAATATTGATCGGTTGCCTTGGGATCGGTGTGCACAGCGATGGATTTTTCATAGCAAGGATTTTTTTAATGATAATTGAATCATGACCGATGAGATTCAGCAGAGTTTTGGCATCTTGGCTTGATGAACAGGGTAAAAATTGACGACCACACTCAATAATATTGAAAACACCTCTTATGGACTTCTAAATCCAGGTATCTACCAAAAATGCAAGAATGAGAGATAAAATCCAAACAAATGCTTTAACCCCCCCCCGTATGTATTTCCTGTAAATGACGCCCTCCACAAATAATTGATATCCCATATGCCCCCGCGCCCCATCTCCCTATTCCCCCGCTAATATATGCATTCCCAAACCCCTGTATTGTTTCGCGATAGAACGCGTCTGTTCTGATTCTGAGCGTTGGTGGAATCGGTTCGTAGACGAGATAAAATCTCGGTATATCCAAGGTGGTAATTTTGAAATTGTAGACCCCCTTAGGTGTGTTGGTTAGGGTGTAATACCATGTATGTGTGATGTCGGAGTTGTGATGTGTTGTATCTTCTGTATGTAGTATGCCGATGCAGTATGCCGCTATGTAGGATGCTGATGAAATCGTTGTATGTGTTGTCTGTTTGTTGTATGTTCCGCGCCGATGATGATTGGTTTTCTTGTATATGTACCCTCTTGTAATTCTCTTGGTAACACGCATACCCTCTATAGTATGCGTGTAATCTTTCAAAGCAAACCTTCCCTCGTCCCATATATAACCCTCAACACCAGTTGTCGTCCTCCTCTTATCCCTAAACACCAAACCTGTCCGATGAACCACACATGTTATGCAGGTTCATCGACCCTCTCTTGACTGCCACTGACGTGCCCAACATCCAGTTCCCCTCATGGGCAAAACATACACTTGCACCTTTTCAACCCATTCCCCACCATCACCACATGCTTCTCGACCGCGACCGTCAACTCCAGCGCCTCCAAGCTCTTCTGCCTGAAGCAATCTCGCTCCCACTTCTCCGGCGGCTGGAGGTTGCGAAATTGCGCCGGCACTGCTGTTACAGAGACGTGGTGGTCGGTCATTGTCTGTCGGTTTTTGACTGTCTTTAGCGAGAGCTTTTTTGAGATGGCGAGGTAGACGAATTGGAGGTGGATGGGACGAAGGGTCGGGGCGGGGATGTCGAGGACGTTGGATGGGATGGAGTGGTAGGCGAAACCGTCGTTGGCGATGGTGTGGGGGTAAGGGTCCTGGGACCCTTGGAGGTAGGGGACCTGATTGTCCCCATGGTGGTTCGGAAGGGTGGAGTCCTCGAAACTCGAGGAGTAGTATGTTGGCCGAAATCTGTGCGCGGGGATATCGCTCCTGTTGGCGCGCGCAGTAGCGTTGCGCCAGGCGTTGCGGTCGGCGACACGGAGGGCCGAGCAAGCGACGACGACTGCGGTGCCGTGGCTTGCTTGGCTTATGGCTTCGTGAATGATTGCAGCGAGGATTTCGGCGTGGCGATTATCGTTGACGACGCCGCTGTTTGCCTTTTCCTGTTTAGTGAGGAACTGTGAGAGTTAGCTTGCTGTTGGGACGGACGGAAGGGACATAGATGGAGATGGAGACTCACGTCGTCGCCTTCAACGAAGATGAAACCTAGTTTGGCGCATAGGTATTTCCCAACTCTAGACTTGCCAGCGCCCGAGGGCCCGGTTATGACCCAGATGTTGGGGGTGGCCGGCAGGGCGACCTGGGGTTGATCCCACGACGGCGGAAGCATGTCGGCCGTGCGATAGCGTTTCGTTCTTCGGTTTGGTCGTCGAGACTCCAATATTGTAGAGTTGAAAACGGTATGGGTGGTCCCATCCTCTTCTCTTCCTATAGAGCCTGGTGCTGGGGCGCTGATATTATATATGTCGAGCATTCCTGGCGATCAGGCGGAGGAGGAAAAAGGGCGGGCGTTGGAAGTGAGAGTGGAATTACAAAGTTGGGTAGGGAGGAGATGGTGACAATGCCAAGACCTGGGTGGTTATTCCCCAGACATGGGTCGCACAGTATCCCAGTATTAATACACCCCATTTGCCTCCAGTCAGCCTACTGTAGGACGGGTGTGACCATAGTAGGCTCTGATGCGCCTTGAGGTTGACGCTGACAGCTCGCGATCTCAGGGCACCAAGGAGGCTAAGTCGACGGACTCAGACGGACTTAACGGAGTGTGTGGGGAAAGGGGAGGGGGGAGGGAAGTCATGCTTTCCAACTATTCAACCCGTCCAATCCCCTCCTCCTCAGCGCCTGCGGACCAAATATGGTCACCGTGATGTGTGTGATGGTGACCACACATGGCTCGGACAGACACCTCGACGTCGTACCTGTTGGTATCCGCAAAAAGTAATACTATCAACGGGCGTGATTGCGAACTTCCGGTTTTCTTTTGCCCTGATCACAACCACCCCGGGCGCAGGGCGAATCGGTGGACGCTCGGTGGCGAAATTCAGAAATCTCTTCTTCTCGGTGAGCGGATTTGGAAGGGAGTATGAGAACATATCTTGGAGGTTGAGGGCGTTTGAGGGTCACCATGTTTCAGCCTCTCTGAGGGGATTGGGTTTCCGTTGCAGGTGATAGGCCCGGATCTCGCCATGAACACCATGCTCGCTCCAAGGCATTTTGATGGCTTTTTTTCTCAATCATTTTTGCGTACCTTTCTGGCCCCCACTGAAAACTGTGTATGGTGGTCTCGGAGCGAGAGAAGGCTGTGTATTTTTATCGCTACATAGTAGATACTTGTACAAGTACAGAGGAAGGGACGCCGTCTATGAAAGTCTAACAAGCCCCCAAAAAACCAGATCCGGGCTTAAACGGTCTAGATGCGCGCCAACGCTGACATTCTCCGCCCACCACCGACACGATTGACAAATCGTCAAAACACGATTTCTAACAAACCCGCTTAGCCCTTGACGGCGTAGATGGCCTTTGCGAGCCTCTTGACGTTGTCGGATGTGATGCCCGCAACCGAGATACGGCCGTCCTTGGTGGCGTAGACGGAGTGCTCCTGAGCAAGGGTCGTCATCTGCTCGGGCGTGAGGCCAGTGTAGGCGAACATGCCGATCTGGCTGGTGATGTGGGACCAGTCGTGCTTGGAGCCGAGCTGCTCGAGGTTGTCCTTGAGGAGCGCGCGCATCTCGATGATGCGGTCGGCCATGCCCTTGACCTCACCAAGCCACTGCTGGTTCAGCTCGGGGTTGTTGAGGATCTCGGCGGCGATGCGCGCGCCGTGCACGGGGGGGTTGGAGTAGAGCGGGCGAACGATGATCTTGACCTGCGAGTCGACGCGCTTCTTCTCGGCGGCGTCCTCGCAGACGATGGAGAAGGTGCCGGCACGCTCACCGTAGAGACCCTGTGATTGTGTTAGTGATGATCGTCATATGTACAACCAGAGCCAACCTACCATGTTCTTGGCGAACGAGGTCGCGAGGCAGATGTTGTGGCCCTGCTCGACGAAGAGGCGGACTGGGAAGGCGTCCTTGTTGGTGTCACCGGACGCGAAGCCCTGGTAAGCCATGTCGAAGAAGGCGAAGTGCTCGCCTTCCTTGACGGCATCGCTGATCTGCTTCCACTGCTCTGGGGTTGGGTCGATACCAGTGGGGTTGTGTGCGCAGGCGTGGAGGAGGAAGACGCTGCCCTTGTCGGCGGCCTTAATGTCGGCGACCATACCCTCGAAGTCGAGGCCGATGGTGTCCTTGTTGTAGTACCTGTACTTCTGAACCTCAAGTCCAGACTCGGTGAAGATGGCGCCGTGGTTTGCCCATGATGGCGTAGGGATGTAGATCTTCTTCGCGCCCGGGTAGAACTTGGCCAGGAACTCACCTCCGATGCGGAGAGCACCAGTTCCGGAGATGGATTGTGTGATGACGAGGCGGTCGAGAGCGTTGGAGCCCTCACCGTAGGCAAGGACGGCCGCGGCCTTGGTGAACTCGGGGACACCGGTTATTCCGGCATACTCCTTGTTGAGCTTGGCGGCGATGACCTTGTCCTCAGCGGTGCGAACGGATGGGAGAACGTATGGCTTTCCCGCGTCGTCACGGTAGGCGCCAACACCTGGATTGTATCAGTATAGTCGTAGATTCGGATTCGAAGAGCATACCAAGGTTGATCTTCTCTGGGAGGGTATCGGCCTTGAATGCCTCGGTGATACCTGTGCGTTGTTAGTCGCCGCGCAAAAATATTCACTGATGACAACATACCTAGGATGGCCTTTCACACGAACGTTTCATTAGCAATTGATTATCACGGTACATATCATCCGGGTTCTTACATCCTATCACATGTTAGCTGATACACAAGAGTAACACGTCGATGCAAACTCACTGGTGGACCTTGGGGAACGTTCGCCCAGGTCGAGGCCTGGCGAGAAGCTCCGACAACGCGACACGCCGCACCACGAATGGCCACCTGCCTGCTTGCGACTCTGACTGTGCTAAGCATTATGTGATGGAATTTGAGGCAAAGCGAGGATGGAAATGAAGAGCTTAGAGAGAAGATGTTCAATATGTCAGGAGATGCAATTGAAAAAGATGGAGATGTGATTCACAAAATTGGAGATGCTGCAGTACACACTTCCCGGGTAGGCTGGGCCTCGGCGGCTCCGCAGGGGTTTTTTGGGGTTTTGCGCGCAGTGGGGGCTCCACTGTGACTTTTGCCTGTGATTGTCATGAGGCTAATTTGGAAATAAGTAAGTTAACTTAATATTTTTGGATTTTATTTCTTATCTACTGTACTCTGTACTACATTTAACTATAAATACTGGGGAAGCTGGCAAAGAAAAAAAGAATTATGTTTCCTTCTATAGGGCTTAATATCGCCCACTGGATCAAGTACTCTACTGGTGCTAACAGGTTTTTGGTAAAAATTAATTCACGTGACGAGTGATGAAGCAGGCGGTGAGTAACAATTACGTGGGCTCAGATTAGATTATACTGCCAGTCATAGGAGGTTAGCTGGTTCCATCTCCATCACCCCACTCAATACTCCGTAATACCTTCTCAATTCCATATTCTCCCCACAGAGTCCTGTGTTTTCATTATGACAGAATTGACATCACGGAGGTGACGGGAGCTTCCTTTTTTGAGCTATTTATATTTACGTTAGAGGCATGGCCGTAGTGGTCGGCCTCTCTGGGGCGTCGAGCTCTGGAAAGACAACCTTGGCTAGGCTTTTGCGCGATATCTTCCCAAATAGCTTTATCTTGCACGAAGATGACTTCTACAGGGAAGATAAAGAGTGAGTTTTGATATACACCCTCTGGACGAGCCTATGACGCTACATCTCTACCACTTCTCCACCTCCTTCAGAGCTAATATACACGAACCCAAGGCTTCCAACCAAGAACGGCCTCCTGGACTGGGACTGCGCCGAAGCCCTCTCTATCCCCGACATCAAAGCCTCCCTAAGCCACATCCAAGACCACGGCACGTTCCCCGTAGGTCCGTCCCACTCCAAGCTCCGCTCCCGCCCCGAACCCAATCTGAACGCAGCCCAGCCGCAATTCGACTCCAAAGAAGACCGCAACGACGTCGGCCAGTGCCCCGTCTCCGACGCCGTGATCGCGGGGCTGAAGGGTAGAGTTGCTGCGTGGACACAGCCAGGTAGGCCGGGGCATGGGATACTCACTTCGTCGGAGTCGGCGCTTCGTCTCTGTATCTTTGATGGATTCCTACTGTATGCGCCGTCTATGGCGGAGATACAGCCGCATATAGATATCAAGCTGTTCCTGCGTGTGGGGTATGAGAAGGCGAAGGCGAGGAGGGAGGCGCGCACGGGGTATGCGACGATTGAGGGGTGGTGGGCGGATCCGCCGGGGTATGTGGATAAGATCGTTTGGCCGAACTATGTTGAGGATCATGCGTGGATGTTTGAGGATGGGAATGTGGAGGGGAAGTTCAGGGAGGATATCTTGAAGGAGACGGGCATTCATGCACAGTCGCAGCAGGGGCCGGATGTGGACATGGAGACCACGCTTGTGTGGACCGTGGATGTCATTATGAAGTCTTTGGAGGAGATATCATCAAGTCATGTACTGGATAGGGATATTCAAATATAGAAGGAATTATTCTGCAATAATGAACTGGTACAACCCAACTCAATCATTAGCGTGGAGCTCCAATGCAAGGACCAGTTTCCCGCTCATTATAATGCATCTACCCGCAATCATCCCGTCACATATCGAACCATTAAACCAAAAAAAGAAAACATAACACCGCCTTGTCAAACAGTCGCAGTTGCTTTATGCCACGTTGGACCAGGATGGCGCAACGTGAGGCGGCTAGGTTAATCCCGCTTGGGTTTCCGGGGAGACAGAGTCTTGGCAGTTGGGACCCAGGCTGAATGCTTGGGCTGCCAATCTGCCAATCTGCCAATCTGCCAATCTGCAAACGACTGCGCTCCTATCTCAAGAAATTCAACTCTTCAAACACCCTCTCCAGCACTCTCCAAATTCGCGAAACAACACCCCATGGGCAAGCCATAACCAACGCCCAGTCGCACACAACCCAGAACGCCTCATCGCCAGCCTCCTCGCCCCAGGAAAAGGCAAGGCGCATGTGTAAGCTACCAACGAACCACACCACCGCGACCCCAACAGCCTCGACAAACTCGATGTCACAAATATAGATACAACACCCCCTCCCTTCGCGACACCCTCCTTCACAAAAATGCCAGTCCAACACGCCTACCAACCGCGCCGCACGCCCCTCCGGCCCACCCCTCGCCGCCTCGTCCACCTCATAATCGGCACCATCATCGTCCTCTCCATCCTGCTCCTCATCTCCCGCCGCTCCACACCGCACCTCCCCAAACTCCCACCCGTCCTGCGCCCCTTCCGACCCTCCGCGCACGCGCCCCCGATACAACCAAACAGCACAAGCGGCGACGCGCGCTGGCACCAGAGCTGGGACTGGCTCCGCCCCTTCTCATCCGCGATCACGCTCGACGAGCACCGCTCCGTGCTTCCGCCGCTGGTGGAGCGGGTGCCCATATACACATACTACGACTCCGAGAGCGCGGGGGGCGCGGAGACGGAGGAAGTGCTGAATCAGGTTCTTCTTACGTGGCGGCGGGCGTGGTGGGCGCAGGGGTTTCGGCCGGTGATACTGGGGAGGGCAGAGGCGAGGAGGAGTGCGCTGTTTGAAGGGGCGAAGGGGAAAGGGGGGGGAGAGGAGGTGCTGAGGTGGTTGGCGTGGGAGAGTATGGGGGGGGGATATTGTGCAGTTATTTGGCGTTGCCGATGGGGGCGTTTGAGGATCCGGTGATTTCGTACTTGAGGGCGGGGGAGTTTGGGAATCTTACGAGGTTTGAGGGGTTGGCGGGTGGGTTGTATGTTGGGCCGAAGGAGGGGGTGATGGCGGCTATCAAGGCTGCGCTGGCGGCTCCGGAGATTTCAAAGGCGAAGGAGATATCCGATGTGGTTCCGAAGGAGATGTTCAAAGTCGACGCATTCCCAGGCTCGATCGCATACTACGCCATGGGTGTGGTGAAAGCCAAGTACCCCAAGATCTCAGAGGAACTCCCAGTCTCGACATCCAAAGGCATGAGGCTCCTCAACAAACTCATCAACTCACACCTCCACAACAACTGGCGCACCCTCTTCTCCGACGGCATCGCCGTCCTCAAACCCATCCGCACACACATGACCGCCATCGTCGAGCCCGCCGTCCAGCTCGCCGAGTACCTCGCCCAATGCCCCTCATCCCCCATCATGTCCTCCTGCCCCCCCAACGACAAGAACTGCAAGCCATGCGTCGCCGCAGCACCAATGCGCATCTCCACCCCTCCCATCTTCCGCAACAACTCCAAGCTCTACACCATCGGCGTTGTCCCGCACCCCTGGACAACAACCTCCTCCGACGCCTTCACAACCGCCATCGACATACCCTTCATCCGCCGCCGCAGCAACCGCGACCACTGGCTCACCCTCGCCACCAAAGAGCTCCTCGGCACCGGCGTCTCGACCTCCCCGCGCCTCGTCAAATTCAAAGAAGCAGTCGCCTCCCCCTACGGCGCCGCGCACTCCGTCTGGTTCACGGCCGAGAAGGAATATCCCGACGACATAGACTGGCACTTTGGGTTCCTAGTCCCCCGCCAGTCCGCGCACGACGGGAAATCCCAAACCCCCGTCCCGGGCCCGGAACGGCGCCCAGCGGACCCAGCGCGCGACCCGCTCGATGGGGTGCTGCCAAGCGAGAAGGAGCTGAAGAAGGAGAGGGAGTTACTTGAGTTTGCGAAGATGATGGGGACGACGCCCGAACAGCAGCGGTTGATTCGTGCGATCGAGGCGTGGAATTTGGGGGATGTGGAGGCGTGGAGGTTTGCGAGGGCGTTTATGGCGAGGAGGAGTGTGGAGAGAAGGGGGTGGGAGGAGGAGGAGAGGTGGGTTACGGGGGGGAAGGGGAGTGAGAAGTGAGATGGAGGGGAGTGAGGGAGTGGTGGAAAATGCACATAGGGGGGGGTAGGCTGTATATGTTCCGGCCCAGTCGCGAATAATTCATATTCGCGAATGGGCCAGCCCAACCACGAATATGAACCTCCGCGAGCGGGCCGGCCTATTCGCGAATGGGCCGGCCCAACCACGAATAATAGTAATAGTAAAGTAGTAATTAAGAATCTATATAGTATTACCAACAGTGTCTGCTCTTGCTCGCTTCCTTCGTGGCCTCTCAACTCGTGGCCTCTCAACTAAAGCTATTTCCGTACGAGTAGCTAGACCTGATAAATTACCACAGTCGTGGTCATCATTATGACACTGTACGCTATAGCCCTTTACTTCCTTATAACACCGACACCTCTTTGAATTGCATTGACCCTTACATTGACATGATATTCCAACCCATGCACTTGTAGAAGCCTCTCTAGATGCAAGTGCAAGTGTTACTTGCTTTGTAGAAGTAGGAATAGTAATATCAGACCAAAGAGCTTGCTCTACAGCTTGAAGTGATTTTGTAGGTATAAGGCGTTGTATAATACCAGAGAGTGTTATAACCTGATACCGGTGTGGATAGGGCTCTTCTAAAATGCGTGCAAAGAGCCTCTTATTATCAGTTGAGGTTCTATCCTCTCGAGGAACCTTGATAGAGACTATAGCTCCAATATCGAAGTGTTGGATATTATGCCTCTTACTATACTTTTGTATCATAAGAACCCTTGCCTTTTGAGTTGCTACTGTAGCCCGCTCAATTATAGAATCAATGGGGGCTCTAAGCTCAGTTCTAGGCTGGGCTGCTACTCGACTCCGGCTCCCACGCCGGAGCTCAGAATGAAGCTGCTCTTGCGCTTGCTCGGAATTGATCGATTCTGCCAGCTCAGAATTGAGTGAGAGTGAGAGTGCTCGCTCGGAATTGGGTGAGAGCGCTAGCTTAGAATTGAGTGAGAATGCTCGCTCGGAATTGGGTGAGAGCGCTAGCTTAGAATTGAGTGAGAATGCTCGCTCGGAATTGGGTAGGAGCGCCAGCTCAGAATTGAGCGAGAGAAGTAGCTCAGAATTGATTGAGAGCGCCAGCTCAGAATTGATCGAGGGTGCCAGCTCAGAATTGATCGATAGCGCTAGCTCAGAATTGATCGATAGCGCCAGCTCAGAATTGATCGAGAGCTCTCGCTCTTGCTGGAGCTCACTCTCAAGAATCGGTGCCATCGTTGGGTCTTCCTGCTCAACTCCAATTGAGAGATCCTTCCGCGCCTGGCTATTAAGCCAGTTAATATGAGAGCTCCTATCTCGGAATAGTAGCTCAGCTGGTGCACATCCAATTGTCGAGTGGATTTGAGTATTCATTGCAAGCATAACCTCGAGTAGCCCATCCTTCCACTCCATAGATCCATGATCCATTTTCCATGCTCGTAGCTTTGCTTCAACAACCCCATTGGCTTGCTCAACTAGGCCTTGTGTCTGTGGTGACCGTGGCGCTCCATTTATCACTTGAATTCCATACTTGCGTAGTAGGATAAGTAGGGCTCCCTTGAATTCCTTTCCGTTATCAGCTTGCATAATCTTTGGAGGTAAGAAAGCTGTGATAAATTGAGCAAAGCAGTCTGCAATTGGCCCTGCGTGCTTGCTCTTTAATGGGTATAGCTGTGTATACTTTGAGAAATGGTCCTTTATATGCAGAATCCATTTATATTGCCCTGAAGGCTCATGGCGCATATCAATTAGATCAATTTGAACCCGCTCCCACGCTCGCCCACTTATAATAGGGACTAACGGAGCTTTTGTAGTAGATGGTCGGTTTAGAGTACAGTTCTTACACTGCTTTATAATGAACTCTACTTCTTCTCTCTTTAGTCCATAGAACTTTTGTTGTATGATATTCCATGTTTTTGTACGGCCTGCGTGTAGGAGTTGTAGATGTTCGTTGATAATAGTATCAAATGCATCGCTCTCAAGAATTACACATCGTGGGTTTTGAAATCTAGTAGTAGGCTTATAGACTCCTCGTAAGCGTCAAGCATGGTGATCTAGGAGTCTAGAGCGTCTGTTATAGACGACTAGGCATCTTGCTCACTGCTATCAAGCTTGCCAATATACGCCCTATGCTCATGGACAAGCTTGGCTACAGCCCAGCTAAGCGTTTAGTGCTCTTTGCCCTAGCACAGCAACTGTTTGAAAAATTGGTGTTGGAGAGCTACCTTGATGACATGCAATACGACGCCCTACGCTCGTGGACAAGCTTGGCTACAGCCCAGCTAAGCATTTAGTGCTCTTTACCCTAGTGTAAGGACACAGGGCACCCAGCTCACAGTAATAGCATATGAGAGTGTGAGTCGGAGGCTAAACGGATGCTATCCTATAGGTCTACTACGAAGGATACAAAAAAGATGAAGAGAGGAACCCCAGTTGGGTCAATCTCCTTAAGTACCTGAAACGGGTCCGACTCGGCTAACCTGCCTTCACTCTCACCACGTGACCGTAACTTGTCCGACTCTGATACCTTCCGTCACTGAGGGAGAGGGACCCCATTGGGTCAATCCCCTTAAGTACCCGAAACGGGTCCTACTCGGCTAACCTGCCTTAACTCTTATCATGTGACCGTAACCTGTCCGACTCAGATCCTTTCTGTCACTGAGGGACAGGCATCCTTATACTACCCCCCCTCTGAGAGTGTTTTGTCCGCGAAACACGCTGTGAGAATCATTTCCGCAACATCTCCGAATGGTATCCGTGAGAAGAGAGCATTCTTGTAAGGACACAGGGCACCCAGCTCACAGTAATAGCATATGAGAGTGCGAGTCGGAGGCTAAACGGATGCTATCCTATAGGTCTACTACGAAGGATACAAAAAAGATGAAGGGGGAACCCCGTGAGTCAATTCCCTTAAGTACCCGAAACCCATCCGACTCGGTTAGCCCACCAGCTCTGAAGAATGAACCAGGACACCACTCTCACAGTCGACTGTGAGCTCGGATTCCAGACCCTCCAATCCTCACAGATGGGATAGAGCCAGCATTTGAAGACTGGGTTGTGAAAATTCGCCTCAAGCTCGAAGCCAACATTGATCATTTTCCAACACAGACTTTACAAATGAGCTACATTCAGAGTCGACTGGGAGGACTGTCAGTTCGACATGTCAATCCAAGGCTTCGACCAAACTCTACAAACCCCAATGACCAGGGGGAACCTCGTGAGTCATTTCCCTCAAGTACCCGAAACCCATCCGACTCGGTTAGCCTGCCCAAATGATCACACATGACCCGCAGCTACTCAGAGTCTGCTCCTTAGAGTGAGAGACGAGAAGGCATCCTTACAATTCTATGTTGGTGGTAATTCTGTTTATAATTGAATCTGTAACAACCCTGTTTATATTCCGTGTCAGGAAGGTGCATTGTATGTCATGCTAGAGTTGTGCTGTATCGACTGCGTTTAGTGTGTGAAACCAGAGTTCGCTTTGTTCGCTCTGGGGTACATTCCTGTTGGTCCGAGTGGGTTCCGAATCATATCCGCGAAGCGTTCAGGTTGAACTTTCTGACGTATGTAAGGCGAAGTGGCCGCGCTAACCCAATTCAGAGTTCATTGTTGTAAGCCAGACTATGGTGCATGGGTGATAACGTGTGCTGTGTTGACGGGATTCGCAGAATTCCAACTTTTGTTTTTTTACAATGCCGATTCCGACCCCTCCAAGGACAGTAAGTGACCCCTTCTCGTGGATTGTCTGACAGTGTACTAATAAATTGGATAGTATAATTGCAATCCACAAGAACGAGTAGGTGATGGGAACGCGTTGGTGCGTGGGCGAGTGCGTGGGCGATAACGTGTGCTGTGCTGACGGGATTCGCAGAATTCAAACTTTTTTTTTTTTACGATGCCGATTCCGACGCCCTCTGGGGCCCTTTCGGCTGCATTCCGGGTGCTCTGTCTGTGTTGCCTTCGGGCAAAAGCTCGTGGGATCCAATCTCACGAGTGCGTCTGGTCCGCCGCCAGCTACAAGTGCGGGTACTGCACCGTGCAGCACTTGGCTTGCGTCCCGGTAGGTTTTATTGTGGGATTCGGTGTTGGGGTTGGTTGGCTGGTGCTGATCTTGGTGAAAATAGCTGCCCTGGTTCCTTGGGGAAGAGTTTGAAGCCCTCCACACCGCCGAAGAGGCCACCCCCCTTGTTCCCGCCGACGTCGCCACCGCCGCCACCGAGGCAAATCAGGTGGCCCTCCTGGCCGCCCAGACCATGCCAAAGTTCCGCTCCGAGGTGGAGCGTGACCTCTACGAGGAGGCATGCACCACTCGGGCTGCCCTTGAGTCAGGGCTTGCCATGAGTAGACCCCCTTCCCCTTGTGTTGTTTCGGTGCTGACTCTGGGCAGCAAATTCGGTCGTCACTGCGCTGTCTGCGGACGGAACAGGAGAGCGTCCCGGCTCTCTTGGGGGAGTTGGTGGCTGCTGTGGGAAACTGCCCACCACTGCCGCTCCCGTGGTCACTCCGACTCGGGGTGATGGGAGGAAGGAGGGGGAGGATGGAAAAGTTGGGGCGGCCTACGGGGCCTAGGTGGGGGAAGACCCTGTGTCGGAGGGGACTCGGGCCTGGAACTTCGCGTGGGGTCACTTCGACCCTTTGTCTTTCATGGTGGTAGCCGCTTGTTGCGACGCCAGTGAGACGTTTGGGAAGGGTGACTCCTGCAAGGGTTACGGTGGTGAGTGTGCCCTGGCTCGGAGGGTATTTAGTTTACAGTCGTAGATAGCAACGACTCTGTTTCTTCCGCTTTGTCTTCCCTCCCGTGATCATAGTTTTGTTCCTCGGCCATCTCCCATGCCGTAACGCATCCGAGTAGTTCTCGAGGTAGACCTGGTAAATCTGGGTATTCCGTGTAAAACTCTCTGAGTTTATGGGGAGAGTTCATGAAGTTCGACACTGGGTACCACTCTGGGTCCGGATCGTATCCAACCCAACTAACCTGGTATTGTAGTTGCTTCCATCAGAGCCTCACGGTG